CATCCGACTGACACTGATATAGACAGACTGTTCCTTCAAGTTATCCGACTGACACTGATAAAGACAGATTGTTCCATCAAGGCATCCGACTGACACTGATAAAGACAGATTGTTCCATCAAGGCATCCGACTGACACTGATCGGGATAGGCTGTTCCATTAAGTCATCCGACTGACACTGATATAGACAGACTGTTCCTTCAAGTTATCCGACTGACACTGATAAAGACAGATTGTTCCATCAAGGCATCCGACTGACACTGATCGGGATAGGCTGTTCCATTAAGTCATCCGACTGACACTGATCGGTATAGGCTGTTTCATCAAGTCATCCGACTGACACTGATATAGACAGACTGTTCCTTCAAGTTATCCGACTGACACTGATAAAGACAGATTGTTCCATCAAGGCATCCGACTGACACTGATCGGGATAGGCTGTTCCATTAAGTCATGCGACTGACACTGATCGGTATAGGCTGTTTCATCAAGTCATCCGACTGACACTGATATAGACAGACTGTTCCTTCAAGTTATCCGACTGACACTGATAAAGACAGATTGTTCCATCAAGTCATCCGACTGACACTGATCGGGATAGGCTGTTCCATCAAGGCATCTGACTGACACTGATCAAAATAGGCTGTTCCATTAAGTCATCCGACTGACACTGATAAAGACAGATTGTTCCATCAAGGCATCCGACTGACACTGATCGGGATAGACTGTTCCATCATGTCATCCGACTGACACTGATCAAAATAGGCTGTTCCATTAAGTCATCCGACTGACACTGATCAGAATAGACTGTTCCAGTGTCAAGTCATCCGACTGACACTGATCAAAATAAGCTGTTCCATTAAGTCATCCGACTGACACTGATCAGAATAGACTGTTCCATTAAGTCATCCGACTGACACTGATCAAAATAGGCTGTTCTTTCAAGTTATCCAGATGACACGGATAAATACATTGTTCCATCAAGTCATCTGACTGCACTGATCGGGATAGGCTGTTCCATCAAGTCATCCGACTGACATTGATCGGGATAGGCTGTTCCATCAAGTTATCCGGATGACACTGATATAGACAGATTGTTCCATCAAGTCATCCGACTGACACTGATCAAAATAGGCTGTTCTTTCAAGTTATCCAGATGACACGGATAAAGACAGCCAACTGATCAAAATAGGCTGTTCCATTAAGTCATCCGACTGACACTGATCGGGATAGACTGTTCCATCAAGTCATCCGACTGACACTGATCAAAATGGACTGTTCCATTAAGTCATCCGACTGACACTGATCAAAATCGGGTGTTCCATTAAGTCATCCGACTGACACTGATCAAAATGGACTGTTCCATCAAGTCATCCGACTGACACTGATCAGGATAGACTATTCCATTAAGTTATCCGACTGACACTGATCAGGATAGGCTGTTCATTAAGTTATCCCACTGACACTGATGGGGATAAACTGTTCCATCAAGTCATCCGACTGACACTGATCGGGATAGACTGTTCCATTAAGTCATCCGACTGACACTGATCAGGATAGACTATTCCATTAAGTTATCCGACTGACACTGATCGGGATAGACTGTTCCATCAAGTCATCCAACTGACACTGATCAGGATAAACTGTTCCATCAAGTCATCCGACTGACACTGATCAGGATAGACTATTCCATTAAGTTATCCGACAGCCACTGATCGGGATAGACTGTTCCATTAAGTCATCCGACTGACACTGATCAGGATAGACTGTTCCATCAAGTTATCCGACTGACACTGATTGGGATAGACTGTCCCATTAAGTCATCCGACTGACACTGATCAGGATAGACTGTTCCATTAAGTCATCCGACTGACACTGATCAGGATAGACTGTTCCATTAAGTCATCCGACTGACACTGATCAGGATAGACTGTTCCATTAAGTCATCCCACTGACACTGATGGGGATAGACTGTTCCATTAAGTCATCCTACTGACACTGATCGGGATAGACTGTTCCATTAAGTCATCCGACTGACACTGATCGGAATAGACTGTTCCATTAAGTCATCCGACTGACACTGATCAGGATATACTGTTCCATTCATTAAGTTATCCCACTGACACTGATGGGGATAGACTGTTCCATCAAGTCATCAGACTGACAATGATCGGGATAGACTGATCCATTAAGTTATCCGACTGACACTGATCAGGATAGACTGTTCCATTAAGTTATCCCACTGACACTGATGGGGATAGACTGTTCCATCAAGTCATCCCACTGACACTGATCAGGATAGACTATTCCATTAAGTCATCCGACTGACACTGATCAGGATAGACTGTTCCATTAAGTTATCCCACTGACACTGATGGGGATAAACTGTTCCATAAAGTCATCCCACTGACACTGATGGGGATAGACTGTTCCATTAAGTCATCCCACTGACACTGATGGGGATAGACTGTTCCATTAAGTCACCCCACTGACACTGAAGAGGATATCCATTAAGTCATCCCACTGACACTGATGGGGATAGACTGTTCCATTAAGTCATCCCACTGACACTGATGGGGATAAACTGTTCCATTAAGTCATCCCACTGACACTGATGGGGATAAACTGTTCCATTAAGTTATCCCACTGACACTGATGGGGATAGACTGTTCCATTAAGTCATCCCACTGACACTGATGGGGATAGACTGTTCCATTAAGTCATCCCACTGACACTGATGGGGATAAACTGTTCCATCAAGTTATCCCACTGACACTGATGGGGATAGACTGTTCCATTAAGTCATCCTACTGACAATGATGGGGATAGACTGTTCCATCAAGTTATCCCACTGACACTGATCGGGATAGACTGTTCCATCAAGTTATCCCACTGACACTGATCGGGATAGACTGTTAACTCAAAGTCATGATGATAACCTGGATAAGAAGTTCCACAAGCTATTGGACTGATAACAATCCGGATAAGAAAATCCAAAAGTTGATGAACAGAGATATCCGACGTTCGGGAACTTTCAATATTTTACCTCTGCATTCAAATGTAACTTCTGGCACATAGAAGGTATACCATAATACACACTAAGACACAATAACACAATCCCATACAAAATGTTGGAAAAGTTAAGGCCTGCCGGAGAGCAAACAATTCTCATCTGCTCAGTACAATAATTTAAGGATTGTTTTCCCATTTTCTTACACTTATCGAAGGACATTGTCATACTATACTGTCATACTGTATACTACGTACCTCCATCAGCAACACATTATTGATTTTATACCTCCACTTTTGCAGAGTAATCACAATCTTTCATCAACAAATTAAGCCATGGCCTGGTTTCAGTGAGAGCTTGGTTGGTTGGTTGGTTTGTTGTTTAACATCGCACTCAGCAATATTCCAGCTACATGACAGCAGTCTGTAAATAATCAAATCTGGACCAGACAATCCAGTGGTTAATATCATGAGCATCGATCCACGCAATTGGGATCGATGACATGCATCAACCAAGTCAGCAAGCCTGACAACCCGATCCTGTTAGTCGCCTCTTACGACAGGCATAGTCACCTTTTACGGCAAGCATGGGTTGCTGAAGACCTATTCTACCCCGCAATCTTCACGGGTCCTTCAGAGAGAGGGTAACCAGCAATCAACAATCTATAGGCACTCAGATTACATCGGCAATCCTTCTCATGCAACATGTGCCATAGCAAAACACTGTCACCTGTACCCTATGGGGTTGTGCAGGGAGTAGGGGGCATTTGAGGAATGAAGTGTTCACAAAACCCATGAAAGTGATTCCAGGTGAAGGGGAAGCCAATCCAAAATCACTCTTTAGGATAAGTGACCAACCATTTTACAAATCACCAGACATGTTTATTTACCGTTTAAATAGTATTTATCGTTCTGCTAGGCATTGTTTTATATTTAGGGATTAAGATTACCTTGCGTATTTTCTCGTAAACTAAGCTGGAAACAGCAATCAGCTGTACACACGTTTTCTTGGAATCGACCGGTGATTCGGTCAAGACACACCCAATGATATAACTTTATAAGATTTTTAATGCAAGGATCGGCAACAATTGTATCTGAAACTATTTTATTTATCAGGAATAATATATTCCATTATTTTCTTAATTATATGCAACCTTTAATAAACATATTTAAAATAATAATAACCCTAAGCGAAGCAGCTGATCGCTATTCCCGGGTATTATTTTTTACATGGAACATGTCTGACCAGTCACCGTCAAGGCTCACGCGCACATGATCACGTGATCGCGAGAATTTCATGTTGACATAGAATCGTCAAACAAAAACAAATATGACTTTTAACGAGTCAAAGTATGTCATTTATGATATTTGTATCCATTCTCTGTCAACTAAAGTTTGTTTCAAGGCGTCAATAGCGGTATTCTGACCGTGGTTGCTGTTAATAACGGTGAGTTGTGCGATCTTCCGATCGCTTCACACACGATTTTGCCGAAATTAATAAAAAGAATATTATCAGATTATAAGGAATTTTGAATAAAATCAATGAAATAAGTTACAAACATAAGTCCAGATATACAAAGAACACTTTTTATAGCCAGACAGTGTAATTACATGATTATTTTGCGTACTTCAGTATGGATTCGTTGACATGGTATTTCCGGTGTTTCGTGCTCACGGTAATGTTTTTCCATGGGGAAAAAAAACATCCAAACTCATAATTCGTGTATAATGCGCACCCCCTTCTACACAGCTGTGTTTTTTCGAAAAAAAGTGTGCACTATACTCAAGAAAATACGGTATTTCTTTAAATAAAATTATGAGCATGAATATTCTTTTAAGGAACACACCTTGCAACAATGTCATTTTTGTGGCAGAGAATTTTCTGGGACAATTTATTTTTTTCAAAAAAATCCCTGGCCTCCTACCCTTCCCTCTTAAATATCAAATAGTCGGTCCCAAAAAAAACACACCAATTATTTACAAATACTTTACCTCGTTCTTAGAAAACATGATCTCTACATCTGCTGGTGTGATTTCTTCCTGCAGTACGAGCGAGTTGAAGTCAAAGCTGAGTCTTGAGTTCCTCTCTACAAGTGTTTGCTGATGGTGGCGATACTTCTCCAGCAGTTCCGCCACCACCTCCACCAGCGACCGCGAGTCATCATAGTCCCAGTCACGCAAACACTGGCAAAATATCAGGATGCAATACCTTTGAGAGGATACTAATACAACCACAAAAAATGTCATAAACATCAAATTTGTATCGTAAAAGATTAACGTAAAATGTCAATAAAACAACTGATTAGCGTAAATTAAAACCCTACTGTTGGCATGTAAAAGTCATATACACCACAAAAAACAGTCAGTGTTTGGTATTTGCAAAACAAGTATTACAGTAATGAAACGAAAGTAGAACCAGTTGTCCCCATGTTTCTCTACAGATAGAGTGACTTTGCATAGAGATGATTTCACATTCTGTTTCGACATGTTTTGACAAACTAAATATGATGTGGTAATAGAACAAGCGTATTTTACGCGATAACATATGCATGCACATGACATTACAAAGGAAGCACCTTCATTTTCCTCCCATGACACCTTCACTGCCCGCCAATATTTCAGCAAAGGAGGCATGGCTGCCAGTTTTCTTACAAAGCTTTGAAGTGGAGCATAGATTGCTCATGTTTGTCTGTTTGTTAAACACTGCACTCAGCAATAGTCTACAACATTATGGCAGCGTGCAAATAATCGAGGCTGGGCCAGACAATCAGTGATTGATATCATAAGGAACGAACCACTCCATCAGAATACGATGACACATAATCAATCAAGTCACTGTACCCGACCATCTGTTCCATTCAATCACCTTAATGACACATAGAACTGGCCAATTCAATTTGCTCCTATCACTGATAAACATGACATGATTGGCTTGAATTGTGCTGATATGTGTAAACGCTCAACCAGCCATCAAAACCAGGCTACACTGCTGCTTTGTTCAGGCTTGACCATGTCAGTGCTGCAATCTAGGAAGAATGCCATTACTGGAAAATCATAAGGAACATCCCGAGCACAAGTGGCCAAGTGGTCAGTGTCTCAGCAACTCGCTGTTCAGAGTTGTGTCCCTTAGCCATGCCAAGCTCAAGCTCCTTCCCAGCGCGTGACTCCTTCGTTACGCTCCCAGTAGCATCGCTGCCACCAGTGTGGGCGCGGCCATTACAAGAATCTTGAAATTTGCCATCTAACCCAAAATGTAGTAACGTTCATACTTTTGTTTATCTTTGGGAATGCCATCTTAGTTTATTTTGAAAAGGTTTACGACTGACCATGTATCCAGATGAATTTAATTTGTTGTTTGTATAATCAGATTGGTTCGAGATTGCAGACTGTCGGAAAATCAACTAACTTCTCCCTTACATTCTTACTATATCAATTACATGATAGATTGAATGAAATAGAAATTCAAATTGACAAGCAAAGAAAATAATAAGTGTATTCGGTGACACAACAGTTGTCACTTGTTTGTAAACATAATGGTCATTCGGTTGTGAGTTTAACTCCAAGCATGGTTGTGATCATCTATCACTGTGGGGAGTTTTGACTGGTGCCAGCGATAGTATAGAGAGCTCCGCGAACAGGATATTGCTGTGAGGAGCTTGTGCTAAGCTCTGCTGGCCAAGGGTTTGAACCTCAGATTTGCCCGAAATATGGTCCTTGGTTTGTTGGCATGGTACCCTTTCTAGAGTGTTGCACAAAGTGCTAACATCTGTGAGCTGCATTACTTGGGGCTTTCCTCCTACACTAAACTGACATGACAACTGTTCAAAGCTGCATTGGTCATGTTAACATAAACAACGTAGGAATGTTGTAAACATACGTGTAGATCTTCTAAACTTGGACAAAACTCATCATCATCGGGTCCAAATATGAAATCTGGAGGATCCTTCGGGTGGTTGCAGTCAAACAGTACCTCCCCTAAAACAACAACACTGCTCTCATTATATACACCTGCATGATTACGAGTCTCTCACCCATATCACCATCGTTAACTCTACAGGTTCAGTCTTAGAAAGTCGGAGAGATACGTGGGACAGGGTGTCCTGTAACACATTTGATACACACAATTATCTCAACTCACTGCCAACTACAAGACAACACATTATTGTGAAAGGGAAACAACACAACGTATTGAAATATGAATGAGCTTTTCTTCACGGATTCAAAATATAATTTTGACTGGTTTTCAATACTTTTGTCCAAAGCTCTTCGCGATGTGATGTGCTAAACGACAGATATCACAGGATCGAAGAATTGTATTATGCACAGTAAAAAAATACATCATCTCCCTTCAGTGAATTCATGTAAATGAACAGGTCATAACAAATTTGGTCTATAAAAATGTCAAATTTTAGATAAATTACCATTAGGCATGATGATTGATTATTTAAATTGTATTTTTGGTTCTGATAGACATTGTTTTTATGCAGATATTAAGATTGCCGTGTGTATTTTCCCATAAACTAAGCCGGAAATAGAAAACAGATGTACGCACATTTGCTACTAATGATTCAGTTCATAAATACCCAAAAATATAACTTCGAAGATTTCTTATGCAGTGATTGGAAGAATAGTATCTGAAACTATAATTTTATCAGAAATAATATATTCCAATATTGCGTCATTTTAGTTGCAGCTTCTACTATATATATTCAAAATAATAATATCCAGAAGCGTAGCACTTTGTTACAACTGAATCCTATTGCCAGATGTTTTTGTATGGAACAATTTGACCAGTCACTGTTGAGACATTCCGTGGGTCTTGCAACAGCAAATGAATCAAAACAAAATGCAAATATCATAAATACAACTGACAAAAATTATATGTATAATATTCGGCTGTTACCTTGTTCGAGGAATGTATCCATCAATATGCACATAAAGAAATAATATCCAATTGGATGAACATTATTGAGTGATTTCGCATACTCTTTGTAAGGTAATCTGAGTGGTTCTATCACTAATCATATTTATGACTTTATCATCTTGTTCTTTCCACATCTGATAGTTGATAGTATACATTAACCATGACAAGAGAACATTAGGTTTTATTTACGGCCTCAAATAGATCAAATGACTATTTTTACTATTATTTACATAACATGATTAAATATCAACTTATGAAACACAGAAAGGGGATCCGCATCAATCTCAGTCATCTTATCATCCACGCACACAGAAACCCGAACATGCTTTCACTGCGAGTGTAGCGGCCATAAAATTTCTGAGTCCCGTGATGGGATTCGAACCACGGACCTTCTGACCAGAGGTCGGACGCCTTGTCCACATGACCAAAGAGGTTAACCCCGTCAGCAAGCTGACAAAGTAAGGATATCATCTGTGGGATGACTCCACGCCCTGCTACACGAGGATACTTTTTTTTATCAAACTATACCATTAGGGGTGTTTCTGTTCTCTTTGTCTGTTTGTTTAGGTTGAAGACATTAATTAACACATGCTCTTTGTGATATCAAAATCTTCAGTATTCAATCAGTATCAATCAGTATTCAGAAATGAGTTTAGATGTTGCCTCAAAGTTTATTTCCACCGCCCTTACAGATGGTAGCCCAGTTTCTTGTCACGCTCAGATGTGTTAGCCAGCAAACACACTCACTACAGATAATGAGCCCCAGACAGCCTGTAGAAGCAGTGTTCTCGCTGGCTTTTGAAACTGCCAGTCCTGGTGGACTGGAAACTCTAAAAATTACCAGTCCCCACTAATTTTTGTCAGTCCCAGCTTTCAACAAATAAAAAAAACATATGAAAATTATTTGTTTTTAATTCTTTCAACATCATGTTTAATACAATGACGTTATCTCTGAAGTAACTTAGTTAGATCTACACGTCATTCACACAAAGTCCAATCTCAAATTTCTCCTTTTTTGAATATTTCGAGACTAAGTAGCTAAAAATAAATATTTAACCTTGAAGCAAGGCAAAATGATATTTCCTTGCACTAAAAATGACAAAGGGAAACCCTCATCGTGACAAACAAGCTAACTTTGGTCAAAAATTATACTTATATGAATATCGCTGATGTTTTGCTCAACAACAAAGATTTATAAGGTTCTCTATTTGCAGGTCCACAGGGACTGGCAGTCACATGAATTACCGGTCCAAGCCTAATTTTACCGGTAAAAAAATGGTAATTACCAGTAAACGGGAATACTGAGAAGAATGTTGTTTCCCTTTCAGTGCAAACTGTTTGCTTTCATTTCATTTCCCCACCATCTCTTGCAAGCGAAAATGTAAAAAAGTTGCTTCAATCATTATAATTAATTCAAACTAGACACTTGCAGGTGATGGACTGGCCAGCATATGGTATGATAAGCTTGAACCTGTCGCAGTTGGGGTACGTGTGAACCGAGGCGCAACTGAAAGAAAGAGACTGTCATTATATATGAATTTTTCAACTGTTGTCAGAAAATTATCTTGTTACAATAAACATGATAAAGTCATTTGCTCAAGACAGTTCTTCTAAATAGTAAATAAATTTTTTGACAAGTTTGTTTGTTGTTTAACGCCACTTTCAGCAATATTCCAGCTATGACCCCGGTCTGTAAAATAATCGAGTCTGAAACAGACAATCAAGTGATTGACAGCATGAGCATCGATCCACGCAATTGGGATCGATGACATGTATAAACGAAGTCAGCGAGCCTGACCACCCGATCCTGTTAGTCGCCTTTTACGACAAGCGCAGTTGCCTTTTACGGCAAGTATGGGTTGCTGAAGACCTATTCTACCCCGGAATCTTCACGGGTCTTTTGACAAGTGATCGTGTTGATACGGTAATATGACCAAAGGTGATGGTGAAATAGTTCAGCAAGCACTGTACGTGTTATACGGGGGTAAAACTCTGTCTTATGAATATTATAGCAACTGCTGAACTGTCTCAACGAAATGTCAGATTCGTGCGACATGAATATTAAATTTAAAATAAAAATCTTGTTTGACGTTGGCTGAAATCTTAACTAGTTACCTTGTCAGTGTGTCAATCACTCGAACTTTGCCGAAACACACACCAACTTTTCCTTCAAGCATCAGAGCTTCTATCATATGCCTGATCCGCGGTGAAATACATGACAGTATTTCCTTCTCAGCCTCCTGAACCATCTTTACTTCCATTTACTGGTCGGGCGCACTTGATTGTCTGAGCGAGGAACTGACTGGGCAACCGTATCCATTGCCTAGAAAAGATATGAGGGAAGTGGTCTTAAAATCCCTGAGATCACCCAAGCGATAGCACTAGTAATAATTTAAGGTAGTTTCAAGTCAGTTAGTTAGAATACGGAAGTCCTGGACCTAAGGTTGATTTTTGGACCAGGACCCTGGTCAGCATAAACCAATCAAATATTGATTTCGTCGTACCTACTCATTTATGTTTACAGATGTCTTTGTTCACAAAGGAGTTTAGGCCAGCGGCCCCCATAACATGGTGTTACAATAGAGAGACAGTGTTATTTGGTTCTATTACAGCTCTTCAGTTCTGTTGACTTATATACATTGCAAGTATCTTTCAAACTGTTTCATTTTACTGGACATAAGCGTATTTAATTTATTAATAGAAGAATTAACACAGATTTTGTTGGTATATTACAGACCCAAGTGGATTGATAATACATATCACTAACAATATGTACCGTTCATTATGTATCAACTGAAGAAGTACATCCCTATAAGGAAACTAGTGCCTCCAAGACATTGCTACTCTGCCGTTATATCGTTGACCTGTTATCTGATATACTGTAGAAAACGGCGCTTAATCCATGTCACTCATTTCAACGATGAGACTTGGGTGGGTCAATTTGCACAAAGCGATATAAACCAGTTACCTCATATCATATTCAGCAGCAAAGGAATGAACACAAACGTTAAAGATAACACAATATAATCGTTGGTGATGAATGTGTGTTATAGTTTTGATAGCTGAAATATTGGTTCAGAAGATTGGCACCCTAACTTGTATCAAGGCCTGAAGGACGCCGTTTGTGTCCTGTTTCCGACCCATCTGACTTCATAACCTAAAGAAGCTCAGGGAACATCAAACTCTTCACTAAACCTGTATTCACCATAGGGAATGGTAGTGTCGTTTTCACATCTATTTCCGTCCGTGTTTTGTCTTAAGCTTCTTCTGATGATTATCGATTATAACAAGACAAAGTTGAGCTTAGGTTCAGTACGACCATAAGAGGAAGGAAGTATCTACTTGGGGCAAGTCGTGAAATAAGAGATTAGAGAGCTGCGGATTCCTTGAGTTTATTAAAGTAAGTGACGAGTGTCTGTGACATTCTGCAGAAATGACGACGACCACGATGATGATGATGATGATGATGATGATGATTCAAAGTGCGCTTCCTGTAGAACCGTTTTCACACTCGAGATGGCTAAGATGATCAGATGATTGGCCTTGCACACAGGATCGAGCCACACGACTGGGACTCCCAACATAACGTAGGTAGCGAAAAAGGCCGAGTGGATCCGAGTGATACAGGAGCTAATCTTACGTAATGTGGGCAGACCCAACTGCGGCATTGGCTGTGTTACCGTATTTCCCTACAGGGGACATTTGTAAACTTACAGGCCGACTGACAGGGGCCTATATATATGGTGGACAATAACCACAGGGGCACCATAGAACAGATGGTAGGGGAAATCGATACATTCTGTAATACTGCATTGAGGAAACTTATTTGAAAAGATTAGAGATAAAACTTACATGGCTATAAGGCGTTCACATAGTGAATGAAAAAAAATGAATTTAATAATATCCAAAATAAGGCCGAATATCATGCATAGAAAACAACATATAAGATCAAAAGGATGTTGAAATATGTTGTTATAGATTAGATGGAGTGGCTTGTTCGCATCGACGTTATAAGAAGTACATGAGTGAATTCTTTAACTTTGATAAGAAATAAATAAATAAAAAAAACAGTCTAAAAGGACTGAGCTTGCGTCGCGTACAAGAGTGGAACCAGTTTAGCGAATCAAGTACGCCTTCGCTAATTTTCTTAAAAGTTGAAGTGGAAACCGGACCATGTGATGTGTATATGTATCCCAATGCTAATCACCATTCAAAACACGAACATGGCAATATTTGTGCCAAGCCTTATTTGATTCGTTATAAAAGAAGTTTATTTAATTGCTACAACTATATAGTTGGGGCGGAATGTCCACAGCTGATCTCGGATAATTTATATTTTTTATTTTATATCATTTCTAGGGGAGGTAACTGAGTCTTGGGAGAATTTTCTTTTCACAAATCCTAAAGTTTAAAAAAAACATCGATCATAATTTTGATGTATCTACAACACTTTCAAATACATACATCTTTTTAAGGTAGTTTATTTGTTGGACATGATATAGTACAACGACATAGTGACTTCTTAATTTTTAACCTGAAAACGTTCAGAGAAATATCATTCAAGAAATTTGATAGCTACCGTTGTGCACACAAACTGATGACGTGTTGTGGTGTTCACATGTCAAGTCCTTCTGAGGAAATCGGCTTGTAAACTTCAGAAGGGTTGTCTGCAGTCAGGTATTCATTGACAGGTATTTTCCTGCGTTTCTGTACTGTGAGAAACCGTATTTTTTATTGTGCTAGTGTTTCTGTGGAGAATTTTGTCGGCTAAGCTGATGTTTTGCAACACATTTCTTACGTGAAGCACCAAATATTGGAACCCTTCAGAACATGCAGAGCGTGAACATGGTGAATGATGAAGAATAGGAAAAACAGTTAAATTGGTGGTCGTATGTTTTTGAAATACACTTGTATCTGCTGTAATGTCATTCTAGCCTTTGCTCTTGCCTAGAAATCCTAAGTCTGTTACTTTGTCATGTTCACAATATTTAACACATCGTGGAACAAAATGTTACAAACTTAGTTGATAATGTTGAACACTAGGCCTATTGAATTTTTCTGATTTATGGCGAGTCAGTTGACATGATATGACTTCACTGATTTTAGGTAGTCGACCCCATCGGTCAAATCCAACTGGTCCGCAACTCATCACAGACTAGTAGTTCTAGTAAAATAGATAGATTTTAGGGAAAATCAACTAGTCCTGGAAGACTTCCACCAGTATTGGACTAACAGACATGTGGCAATGTCTATCCCAGGATTGTTGTTACCGTATTATAGACTTATCATCCAAGGCTGAGACCCATGAAGATCCGGGGTAGAATAGGTCGTCAACCCATGCTTGCCGTAAATGGCGACTATGCTTGTCGTAAGAGGCGACTCCCGGGATCTGGTGGTCAGGCTTGCAAACTTAGTTGATGCATGTCATTGTATCCCATTTGCGTGGATCGATTCTCATGATATCAATCACTGGATTGGCTGGTCCAGACTCGATTATTTACAGACCGCCGTCATACAGCTTTAATATTGCTGAGTGCAGCGTTAAACAACAAACCAACAACCAACCCAAGGCTGAGAATAACAACAGATCTGTGTATGTTAATTGTAATTGGATCGGGTGGTCAGTCTCAATTACTTCGATGATTGCATGTAATCATATCAAAACTGTGTTATTCAATGCTCATGGTGTCATCCACTGGATTGTAGAGATTTATCTAAACCCTCTCAAAATCTGAAATTCGTCCTTAAGTCTGCAACAAATATCTGTACAATTTCCCAAATTGGCATTACAAATTTCCCCAATTTATGGATAGTTTTGTTTGTTTGTTTGTTGTTTAACGCCGCACTCAGCAGGATCCCAGCTATTTGACGGCGGCCTGTAAATAATCAAGTCTGGGCCAGACAAACCAAGTGGCAAGGGCACTTTGTTTGGAATTCTGGATAAATTCCTGGATTGTCTTGATAGATTCTATTATTTGCAGACGTCTACCAACACATGGCTCTAACATCAATGAGTGTGGTGTTAAGAAACAAGCAAACAAATTTACATTTATTGTTATCATGTTGATGTTAATGTGTGACAAATTCAACAAATAGTATTCCTCAAATTATGATTTCTGCAGAAGTAGTAAACAACAAAATGGGGAAGAAAAGCAGAAAAGGGGGTGGTGGAAAGCAGACAGCCAAAGAGAATGCAGCCAGCACAGAGGGAGCCAGTCAAACCCAAGCCCTGCCCAAAGCAGCCAAGAGAGATGTCACAGAGCTTGTGAACCAGCTTCTTGATAGTAAGTCGCAAATGAACAAACAGACTTTGTATAATTTTAAACATGGTTAAGTCTTTTTCTCTTTTAATAAAAATTATATATTCTTCAGTACACTTAGCAATAAGCAAGCTAAAAGACCCAACAAAATCATTACTTCAAACACATCATTCAGCATCTACAGGATTTCATCTATTTGCATAAATTATATCATGTACAATGAAACCCTTTTATTCTGGATGGTATTGTTCCATGGGAAAACGTATGGAAATATAAACTTTGCAAATGACGAATCATGGTACATCGTATACCAAAAGTACATAGTAATATTACTTTGATGATATATCATGTGTATCATGTTATATATTTATATAAAGTTTTTAAGCTTAAGTGTACCATGTTTACACAATATACAGCTTTTCCATTTGATAAGAGGTCAGGTATTAGCATGTATTATCATATACCTATCAGTGATATGAGGCACTTTGTATGTGTGGTAGAACCACCATAGAGACAGTCATGTCACAGGGAGTTTAATAACCAGACCAATATTACACCCCCTGCCTGGCTTGTCAGTGATTTTGAATGGGTGATCGATATCAGCCCTGATGCTAAGAAATTTGAGTTACATCCTTTGGTGCATCATCTGCTTAGCTGGGCTTCCCATGACAATATCTTCCAAACATGGGGAAAATGTACTGCATTCACTGTCAAATAGATAGTTGTAACAAGTTGATGTTAAGGTATATGATAAAGATTTTTTATTTGGCAGTTTTCATATCAAATCCAATATCAACCCTCGACTCCCATATGAGCCCTCTGGTCTTCTGCCCTCTGGCTGATATGGGGGTCTCAGGTTGATATGGGGGTCTCAGGCTGATATGGGGGTCTCAGGCTGATATGGGGGTCTCAGGTTGATATGGGGGTCTCAGGCTGATATGGGGGTCTCAGGTTGATATGGGGGTCTCAGGTTGATATGGGGGTCTCAGGTTGATATGGGGTATGATATGAAAACTGCCCTATAATCACTGATAATAACCTCTGTTTAGCGTGTATATTTCATATCATGAATATAGATATTCCCAGCAGGAATCATCAAGAAAGTGAAGTCTCCAGTCTGATAGGGCCTGGACTAACAAGCTTTCGCTGGGTCCACTTGCACCAAGCGATCATAGCGCTACGACTATTGTAAGCTTGTGTATGTTAAAGTATGGGAGTTATGATCATCTTAGCACTAAGATGGCTTTGTGCAAGTAGGCCCTGGAAGTGACACAGTTGATACAGATTGTATGCATTGACAAATGGACTGTTGATAAAGTTGACAAGGACGCCAGAAGATAAACTTGACTAACTACAGTCAAGTCTTGTTAATCCGACATCGTTGGTTGCACATGATTGTGTCGGATTAACGAGTATGTCGGATTAACGAAATTAAGTGATTTGTGATCGAAAATCGGACGTCTTCACGATAGATAATAACCGTGTGTACCTTGTAATAAAATCATTAAAAAAGAAATATTTATATTGTTATGTTGTTTATTCATTCATTCCTTAATTTATAATTGATGACATTGCAAAAATAATAATAATTTTCCCATTTTTACATAACAATAGAGACATTACTCACTGATTCTCTTTCAGATTAAATCCTCCTTGGGGCACTTATTGCATTTTCCTGGCTCAAGAAAATCTACATGACATAGTTGTAACCATTTTCCTTAATAAAAATTGTTACCACACAAAAAACTTTGTTTTTGTATGATATACGTCCACCCTTATGGTGCCTCACCCTCCACGGCGCGTCACGCCAAGGGAAGCAACTCTCACCCAAATCACTTTCCTTATGTCATCTGACAAAGACAGACGTGCTGTTTTTTTCAAGACAAAACAAAGTACAAGATAATCGTTCGTACAAGAACCATGGCAGACCAAACTGTATGTATGATACATTTCTTTCATGCAAAGGCGTAATACCTCGCATTGTGAAGTTATAAAGTTGTAATTATGTGACACGTGTACGATACCTTTGAAACAAAGGCCGTCGTAGCGTCCATTTTGTAGTGCCACGTATGATACATGTAATACCAGGGCCATCAAAAACGGCTTGGGTTTTTTAATGTTATATCATCGGGCTTTAGGCTACAATCTTTTCCTTTAAATAAACCCAAGGTGGTGTGTTAATTATTTTTAAATTACACTTACCTTTTTTACGGTTTTTTTTACACCTTCGCGCGTTACACGCCCACTTTGATGTTTTAATTATACTACGACATTGGCTATTAGTATCGCGTTACCAATCGCATTCTAAATTACGCCTTTGCTTCTAGTTACACAACTTATGCACGTATCTTTCCGATCTTTCAATCGCACTGATACACTTTATTACCCTTCCCGCCAAACTAAAAAATTACGGTCTTTTTTACAGACCTTCAAACTGTGTACGGGGTGCTCGGCTTCGATTCCCCCCCAAGACAGGCATGATACTTGCATAAAGTGTTTGGCCGAAGACGGGCATGACGATGGGTCATGCCCGATCTGTGTTGCATTCACACCACGGGCGCAGAAAAAGAGAAATGTGGACCTCTTACACTTTAAGGGTCTATTGAAGGCGGGGGTGGACATTAAATCGGCAAAGACCGCCCCCCCCCCCCCCCCCTCTAAAAAAGTAAGAAAGGGTAAAAAAAGCAGCTGAGACTGTCTCCTCTGCTCCCTCCCCGGGGGCCGGGGGAGAAGGCTCTAGGGTCCCCGTCACAATCACTGCACCCTCTCCTGCACCGTCTTTGGCAGACATCTCTGCCTTGTTGAGGTCGCAGATGGCGTCGATGATGGAGGAGGTAAAGTCTCAGCTCCGAGAGGAGATGCGGACCGAGCCTTCCCCGTTGTCGGCGCGGGACGCGGCTTCAAGACCTTGTGATATGCCCGGCGTCGGCCGAGGCAGGCCACTTGGTCTCGGGGACGATCTCAGACCGGGCTTCGGCGCCGGCTCGAGGTCGCTCCCCAGCGGAGGGGTGGCGGGCACTGGCCCGTTCACTACCAACGCACAGTTCTCCCTAGCGGGGCCAGACGCCTCTTCCGAGGCCGAGGCTTCCTCTAGCGGATTTCTAGCCCAGAGCCAGGTGGGTTCCCTTGAACCCCCGGCACCTCGGGACCGGGACTCGGCTTCGGGCCGGGTGCAGCCCGGGGATGCGAAGGCCCAGGCCTTCGGGCGTCCCCCCTTCCGACTTCGTCTGCCTCTTCTCTCGGGGAAGAGTCAATTAATTTCGGCTCGGAATCGAGAGAGGAGGAGTGGATGGAGGAGGGGGTAGACGACTCGGAGACCTCGGGAATATTTTCCTTCGTTTCCTCGTTGAGGCATGTACGGGACAAGATTGTCCAGGTACTGCCTCAGGTGGCTGCGCCCATGCCCCAGTCGGATCCGACTGAGTTCCGCCTTCCGGGGGACGCTTTTGCTCCGAGCAAGGCGCCCCAGGTGCGGCTCCGTATTCTGTCCTCATTGGTGCATGAAGTCATCAACCCTCTGTTGTCGGGTGCCCGCAGGAAGTTCGACCTGCCCGAACTTATTAAGCGGTACCCGTTAGCAGAGGATGGTGATTTTGAGGTACCGGTGGTGGACGAATGCGTCTGGACCTCCGTTACCCTGGGGGGGTCTTCGACCCCCAACTTGGCTAAGGTCAAGCAGGGCCGGCGGTTGCCACCCTTTCCCGCGTGCGATACGGAGCTGAAGGCTGCTTACGTTTGCTTCGAGGAGCAATATCGTAACGCATGTCAGCAGCTCCGGGTGTCCGTACACTCCGCTTATCTGTCGGCCGTACAGAGGGAGTTAGCGGGAGAAGGGCCGGCCGACTCTTCGGAGTTGGTCACGCAACTTACGGAGGTACATAGTCATCTTGAGAGGGAGGCTATTCGTAGCTGTGCCTCGCAGATGATGTGCGCAGTCATGGGCATGCGCAGGCTGTGGATGTCGGTATCCAAATACTCGTCTTCCACACGCCAGGATCTACTTGCTTTGCCTTATAAGATGGGTGCCACCCTCTTCCCTGGGGCTCAGCAGGTGGTCCGAGAGGCCGCGCAGTTGTATGCCTCCATCAAGGATTCTAAGGCCTTGTTGGAGGTACCATGCGTTAAACCGCGTAAGCGGACCTCTCCACTTGCTTCCTCCTACGCTGATGCGCCGGGTCAGAAGTCTGCACCTGCTTGGAAGCAGCCGCTTCCTTCAGGTAAGGGCGCCGGGAGGAGCAAGAGAGGCAGGGGCCGGGGCAGGGCAGCTGGTCGAGGCCAGCAGCCTTTTCGCGGGGCCGGGAACCCATCGGGTTCCCATTAGCGCCCGAAGTGCCCCGGGCGGACCCACGGTCGCATGTTATCGAACTGCCGACAGCCGGGGTCCACTGCCTCAAGCCGGATGTCCCCGTAGGCGGCCGACTGGCTCTATTCCTGCAGGAATGGGAGACAGTCACATCCAATCCCTGGACCCTGTCCACTCTAAGGGATGGCCATTTGCCTCGGTGGAAACATCATCCGCCCCCCTTCTCCGGGATAAAGCACACTCCGGTGCCTGCTACCCTAGAGAGGGCGGAATTCCTCCGTGCCGAGGTCGACGCACTTCTTATGAAGGCTGCGATTGAACCGGTTCCCGTGGGACAGGAAAGCGAGGGCTTCTACTCGACATATTTCCTAGTCACCAAAAAAGACGGAGGGTTCAGGCCTATTCTCAATCTGAGAAGGCTGAACAAACTTATAGAGGTACCGTCCTTCAGGATGGAGACACTGCGCTCGGTGATCTCAGCTGTTGAGACCGGAGAATGGCTAACGTCAATAGACCTAAAAGACGCCTATCTCGACGTATCCATACACCCCGAGTTCAAGAAATACCTCAGGTTTTCTTTCGACGGGAGGTGTTATCAGTTCAGGGTTCTACCATTCGGGATCGCTACGGCCCCGAGGGTGTTCACCAAGCTGATGTTGATTCCCGCCCAAGTGGCCAGGTCAAAAGGTCGGTTCTGCCATCCGTACCTCGACGACTGGTTACTAAGAGCTCTATCGCAATCCCTGAGTCAGATAGCTACACAACAAGTGATAGATATTCTGATCACTCTAGGGTGGATAGTCAATCTCAAGAAGTCAGATCTGAGCCCTACTCAGAATCTAGTCTTCCTAGGGGCGAATTTCAACACGGTGAGCGGACTTGTATCTCTGTCACAAGATCGCATTACCAAGGTCAGAAGTGTTACTTCCCAGTTCCTTCTGTCCGCCAGTCACACTGCTCGTACATGGCTCCAGTTACTGGGCAACATGGCGGCGACAGTGGATGTGCTTTGGCGGGCGCGCTTGAGAATGAGACCCATTCAACAAGCGCGCCTTCCAGCTAGATTGGACGGACAGAATTCTGTGGGCATTCCCCCCAGTACCTCTGATTTCCAAGGTCCTTTCTCAGCTAGCCACTCAGCCTGCGCGACTACTTGTGCTCCTGGCACCCCTTTGGTCAGCGCAGAGTTGGTTTCCAGTCATACTCAGGTTTCTGGCTCAGCCTCCTGTTCTATTACCTTTACGACCGGACCTCCTATCCCAGAACAAGGCCCTCCACCCGAATCCCAGGATTCAGTGGGTGGCTTGGCCACTGTCCGGAATCGCCTCCAGGAGAGCGGTATTCCTGCACGAGTTGCAGACACAATACTGGCTTCGCGGAGGGATTCGACAAACGTTCAGTACGAGGATAGATGGGCCTGCTATGCGCGCTGGTGTGTCGATAGAAGGATTGCAGATCCCTTTTCTGCAGATCTCGTAGCCGTACTTGAGTTCCTCCAGTCGCGACTAGATGTCGGCCTGGCCGCATCGACAGTCCGGGGGTACTCTACAGCTATCGCTGCCTTTCACGTCCCCGTCGACGGGGCACTTTTGGGTGCGCACCCATTAGTGCAGCGTTTTTTAGCAGGTGTGGACAGGATCCGACCGCCTGTCCGGCGGATCAGTCCCCCTTGGGAATTGTCAATCGTTCTTGATTGGCTGTCCGGTCCTTCCTTTCGGGATCTGTCGTCTCTCTCTTCAGCTGTTTAGCTGGAAGACGGCGTTCCTTGTGGCGGTAACGTCCGGCAGACGGGTAGGCGACATTCACGCAATGTCAGCCGATCCCGAACTAACTGTCTTTCACCGGGACAGGGTCAGTATTCGCCTGCCGGACTCTTACCGTCCTAAGGTCGCACACGCCTTCCACATGACGGCTCCTATTGAGCTACCTGCTCTTTCACAGCCTTCCTCGTCGGGGACCACTACAAGACATGCTCATGTCTTGGATGTCCGCAGGACCCTTAAGTCCTATATCAGCAGAACTAAGGGTATCCGTAAGGATAATCAACTATTTTGCTGTTATGGCGGTAGGAAGGCTGGCTCACCTGCGAGCAAACAAACTATCTCGAGGTGGATAGTCTCTACTATATGTACGGCGTACACACTTCAAGGCAGGGACCCCCCTACCAAGTTGAAGGCTCATTCGGTTAGAGCAGTGGCTACGACACAAGCGTATGCCGCGGCTGCCCATTGAGGAGATCTGCTCCGCGGCTATTTGGAGCCAGCCGAGCACGTTCATCAAACATTACCAACTCGACAAACACTCAAGCGAGCGTGCTCGGTTTGGTCAGTCAGTTCTCCGAACTGGGCAAAATTCTACATCTCTAGCCGATTGAGCCTTCGAGATTTTAGACCGCCCGGACCGGTTATAACTCTGCTCAGTAACGGTCCGGATTTTATCTTCTACGGTCGATACAATACCAGCCATTACTACTCGATAATCATCGTATTTGCACATGCACTCCTTCGATTTACGGGGACCCTCTGGCCTAGCTTTGTGCGGGTTTATAGTCTCTCGTGATCTGTGCCCCCAATATCACTTGTTCAAAAAAGTGGGGGGGGGTGGGGGGTGTGTGTGTCTCGAGTTCTCGATATGATAAGCCACAAAGAATGGCTCTTTTCATTGTGTATGGTCGATAACGCCCTGTCTCCAGCCCCCGCCTTTCGACGGTGGTGCCTCACGATAAGGTTGGTTCCATTTATTGAACTCTTGTTTATTCATTGAAATAATCAAAATACGATGTATTTATGCACGCTTGTTGCTGACGGATGCCACTTCCTAGATTATCTTTAGGAGTCTATCTTGATGCAATAAGTGCCCCAAGGAGGATTTAATCTGAAAGAGAATTTGACAAACCTGTAGAGGTTATGAATTCTCTGATGAAATCCTCCTTGGGGCACGGCCACCCGCCTCCCCACATTCCGTCAGCATTAGACATATGGAAAGTGATTTGGGTGAGAGTTGCTTCCCTTGGCGTGACGCGCCGTGGAGGGTGAGGCACCATAAGGGTGGACGTATATCATACAAAAACAAAGTTTTTTGTGTGGTAACAATTTTTATTAAGGAAAATGGTTACAACTATGTCATGTAGATTTTCTTGAGCCAGGAAAATGCAATAAGTGCCCCAAGGAGAGAATTCATAACCTCTACAGGTTTGTAAAAATTTATCGACACATGTTTCCTCATGTAAATGCAAGTGCTACTGTCTTAACAACTTGCTTCATCTACTTAAAATAGTCTGTCAGTGTTTTCTGTTTATCACATTTTGAAGGAACATTTCTCAAAGTCCCCTGCTCGCTTGACGTCTAGGGCTTGTGGTTCTTCAGCATCAACATTGCCGAGGTGTAATTTCATTTGCTGTTTCTTATAATAAAGCTTGAAATTCTTTATGATCCCGGAATCTAGTGGCTGAATGTGCAATGTGGTGTTTGGTGGCAAAAAGTGACATTTCACATTAGTTGTGTCGACAGTAGCATGGGATGGGGCGTGTCGGAGTGCGAGAATGTCGGATTAACGGGACTAAATAGCACTGAATCAATCGGTTCCCATCATTTGTGTCCGATAAAGCTGAGTTTCAGATTAACGAGACTTGACTGTAAACTCATTCCGGGCATGCACAGACACAAAGAACGAGATGGTTCATGGCCTGTTGTAATGTTTCTTTGCAGTCTGCTCCAAGCCACCAGCCACGGGGTCGAAGGAGTGGGACGACTACCCAGAAATACATGGACTTGTCGAGAAAATCAGAAAAATACAATCAGGTACTCCACATCAGTGCTGATATGATTCTATGCAGATGAAATATGTGCACCCCTTTTCTCTCTGCCATCGGTGTTAGTGCATGGTAGTTTGTGTCCCCAATTGGTAACATCACTACCCTTGTGTATACATAACAGGCTTCTCTACTCCAGTATAACAATATCTACTCTACTGTATAAACATTGCCTCCTACTTGTATATATACATGTCAACCACACTCTGTATATCACTTTGATAACGGTGTTAGAACCTGCACTGAAATGTCGCTCTTAATTGTAATAAAGAAGTTGTTCATCCATAAATTCTTATCCTTACTTAGTACTCCAACTTCTAAATGCCTATCAAAGAAACAAGTGTCAGGTTTCTTGAATGTTGTCATGTAGTATGCCCAACTTGTTTTCAACATCTACACTGCACAAGTTATCCTGACCAAGTGCTACATGTCTCCAACCGTTGCAGCCATAGCCCCAACAGAAAAGAACCGAGACCAGTGTTTCCCAGCATTCCTGGAATGGTTAACCAACAATGGCGTGGACACAACGTCGGCAGAGATTGTGCAATATCGAGATTTGGGACATGGACTGAAAGCAAAGAGAGATCTCAAGGTGTGCTTTTTATTTACTGTGCTGGACTGCCTCCCTGTTCCAGTGTATAGAGGTCGGTGCTTTGATCCCTGGCCATGTCATACAAGAAACACTGTTAAAAGATGGTACTTGTAACCCTGCCTGGCACTCTGCATTAAGGGGATAAAACAAGGACTGATCCGCTTGGTGGCTATCCTAAATTGCAGAATGATATCTTGGTGGACTGGCACTGTAAAACCATCATTAGACTAGTACAAGTAGCCACACAAACGACATCGCTATATGAGTGCAATAATCTTTAACACAACATTGAACCCCATTTCACCTCACCTCACTTACAGCTCACTGCTTATTACATTTTAGCATAGTGCTGATAAGAAATGTGATATTAGTTAGGACAAAGAAATATTATTCAGTTTTAGATTTGTTTGGTGTGTGCTGGAGTGGTTGAATCTAGGAACCCCCCATCATTAGGGTAGACATTACACATGTGATAAAGACCCCTATTCCTTCATTCTGAATTTCTAGTGGTAGAGTAGCCTGGTGGTTAAAGCGTTCGCTCATCATGCCGAAGGCCCTGGTTCGATTCCCTGTGTATTTGGAACACTGTGTACTATCTATAACATGGTAAGTATCACCAAAGTCACCGTCACAACTGACCAAATTATTTTTGAGCAGGTTGTCTATCTGTTCCAGGCATTGGTGAGTGTCTCTCTGTTTATCATCTCTTGAGTTGCATCTGGTATTTTCTGTCTTCTATATTACAATATCTGTTCATTTGCAGGAGTCGGAGCTGTTCCTGTCTATCCCGAGGAAGCTGATGTTGACGGTGGATTCAGCCAAGAAATCTGCCCTTGGTACGAAGCACTTACCATTGCTTACTGTACTCTTGTTGAGTAGAATCCATCTGACAAAATAAACTGTAGACCTAGATACAAGATGATCTGTTGTTTTGTGATGAAAAGGTTTCAATCGTATTTCATATGCAGAATGCTGGATAAGAAAATGTCTTTGTGTAAGTCCCTTGAATGAGAGAGCCAAGTATGTAGATATCATCCTCAATGTTTGCAATTAAATATTATATATTTTAACATGGCTGCATCATTGTGTAGGAAACCTGATCAGCGAGGACAAGATTCTCCAGGCTATGCCCAACATCACTCTAGCTCTGCACCTGCTGTGTGAGAAGTGGACGCCAGACTCACTGTGGAAGCCGTACATAGGTCAGTTGTTGTACCAGGAGGTAGCCAAGTGTAGGTAGTTAATTGTGCAGAGTTGTCTTCCTTAGCATATCCAGGATCTGCTGATTGGATTTTGAAACCCAAATTCACTTTGATTTTGATCACTGTTTGGTGAGCACCATAGCCAGGATTATGGGTTTTACCTAAATGGAAACTTATATGACCTGTTCCACTTTTTGCTGTTCTACCATGTCAGCTAATAAGTCCTGATGTACGTGAAATGTAGGTCAGAGGGGCATGAAACCCAACTCATTTGTTCACAATGTAGGTATCTGTTTGACATTAAGATATTTTTCATAATAAAGAAAAAGGATATTATACCTTGTACCATTGTTAACATTCTCCTTATATGACACAAAGACACTAGTGTAGCTGCTGTAGTATTCTACTTGACATATGAGGTTACTGTGGTATTCTGCATTTCAGACATCATGCCGACAAGTTACACGACTCCACTGTACTTCAGCCAGGATGAAATCCAGCATTTCAAGGGCTCCCCAGCATTGGGTAGGTCGCTTTTCTCCTCTTGGGGGCACGAGTGCTGTGTGGAGTTGCGTCGTCCCTTAGACATGCCAGACACCTATAATTGTGGGTTCGAATCCTGATTCACCCTGCTTATGTTTCTAGGTTTGACTGACTAGACTTGATTATTTTCCAGAAATATTGCTGACTGTGACATGAAGAGACATTAGTCATTTTATCGCCTACAAGGGCAAATATATCAGTGTTCTGAAAAATCTTATGTGCCCTAGGGTCATATCACGTCGCGAATCAACAGTGTATTGTTTCCGTCATCCGGATGGCATTGTTGACGTCATCCAAATCTTATTTGGATGTGAGGTCGGAATGACGTAACACTAGAATCTACGTCATAGCTGAAGATTGTTGACGTAATTCGACAAATTGTGGTTCCGCTGCTGTTGCGACTTGCTATCCTCATGGGTAAACACTAAAATTTGTCTCTGTGTGTAGACACCTTCTTCGGAAATAAACAACACTCGTACCTAATTTCCAGTATTTACACACTTGTGTCGTAAACATAGTATGACATAAACACTCCTATAATATACTCTATGTATGTGATGCCGTGTGTCTGGATTATCATCATTTTCGAGAAGTGTGAATTAAATATTCTGTAAGGTACTGAGTAGTTTCTGATTCTGATAATGACAATGACAATGACCTGATACCTTGAAATGTATGGCTGTGTATTTCAGGGGATTCCCTCAACCAGTACCGCAACATTTCCCGACAATACGCATACTTCTATCGGCTGCTACAGGTAGGATACCATGGTTACAGTTGATATAATTTCAAGTTCATTCAAAGCTCATTTTGCGTGTGAAATCGAACTTTCAGATGTGTATCAATTTAGTTGTTCATGATTACCCCAATCATGTGGAGACAATTTTGCTGTTTCACACATAGCACTAATTACTGTGTCCAGACCATGGAACATACCGTATTTGACTTAATAAGCGACCCATTCTAATAAGCGCCCACAGCAATATTGGCTAGTGAACAATCCCAATTAGCATCCCTTCCATTTGATCAATGTACCAAGACTTATTTATTCGTGTATAGTACGCACTCGTGTGTTATATCACCCTTAATTATGGGCAATTAAATTCTGGAAAAATATATCTGTCGTATATAAACATTTCAGGTGTCAGCATTAACCACGAAATTTACGATCTTTCAACTGTTATTTTCACCAAAATAATATTCTAATAAGAGCCCCTTATTTCTAATTTTGAGAGCGCCCTGGGCACTTATTACGTTGAATACGGTAGTTGCCTTTCAGTGCTGTCATTCAAAACCAAACATCTATCAGTCAGTAGTTTCAGGGCACATACAACATCAACCTCAGGTTAAAGTGTCAATTTTGTTTTTTCTTTAAATATTGTTTTTCTTATATATTTATTTTAATGGATCAAGTAGTCAGGCTCTGTGATCTGGTACATTTTGTCGTCAGCATCATGGATTGTTGCTCATTGGATTGTCTGGTCCAGACTCGATTTTTTAAAAAACACTGCTGAAATAATGCAGAGTGAGTCTTTAATCAACAAACAAACAACAAACAAATCTTAACAAATATTAATCTTCTTGTTACTTCTAACATGTCTAAGATTTGACCTACACTTGTCAAAAACCAAATGCTAGTAATCAAACTATAAAGACACTTGTCTGTGGATCCAGTATGGCTTTCTTGCCTTATTCCCTGCAGGTTTTTCTACACAGATTCTTCTTTGATTTCAGAAAAACCCAAAAGCTAGTAATCTACCTATAAAAGACTGCTTCACATTTGATGAATATAGGTAAGCACCTATCTTTCTCTCCTTTACTTTCCCGGTTTGCCCCGATTATGTTTCTAGTTTTGTCAGCACCATACACGTGCTCATGGGTTTCACCGAAGTGGTAAACGTCTGAGACCTGCATCACTTCGGGCTTTCCTCCCACATGAAGCTGACACGTCGCGATATAAGTGGAATACTGTTAAAAGCGGCGTTAAACCAAACTCACTCACTCACTGACTTACAGTTATAGCTCTGCTACAAGCCTAGCATCAGCAGTAACTGAGAAAGTTGCTTTGGTACCTCAACTTTTTTTTAAAATGACCCCAATTTAGTGTCCAAAAGGCCAATTCAATTTCAGCAACTAGAATTAACATAAGTGGTTGATATGTGCAACATTGACCACCTGGCTGGAAAACTGTGGACCATTTCCAGTTTCTGATGGATAATCAGTGATGAATTATTCTACCCTAGAAAGTATGTATTGTAGAATATGGTTCCATGACATAACTCACGGGAGTTTTCTCCCTTTATCAATGTACTCTGTGCTATGGCCACTGCCAACTGCTGTAAGCAAAATTACTCCCACCCAGTAGACTTGCTGGGGAGTACAATTCCTCAATGTATATACCTATTTGAATGGCCTGAATGTGCAATCATTCTTTTAGTTCATTGTACTAGAAATTCAGTACCATTCTTTTTAATTTATGATTAAAGCTCAACAAGTGTCTCTTTTTGTTCTTTCCTTATTACCAGAGACCATGGTAAATAAAGGCCATCGATGATAAATCTACCCCAGTAAACAATATATACAGTGCATGATTTAAAGCTTTCTATTGGCAACCATGGCCAATCAACCCATGGGATTCCAGGTAAAATGTAGATCCTCACCAAACCATGCTTGTTGTAAGGAGTGTCACAACTCAGTGATTCGGTTGATGCATGTCGTCATATCCCAATTGCAGTGATCGATACTCATGATATCAGTCACTGGATTGTCTGGTGCAGACTTGATTGTTTACCATGTTTACACGCCACCGGCATACAGCTGGAATATTGCTGAATGCAGCGTTAAACAATGAAAGTATCCATTGTCAATCAGTCATTGAACTGAAGTGTGTAGCAGTGGTGCAGCAGTGCAGCTTAGACTCTGGTGATAGAGTTTGGTGGTTCCTGGCTTCAGGTGGGCAGTATCTACTGTGATGACAAGGCAGAACCAGATACCTACGAAGGATGGATCTCAGGCAACGTTTGGTCTCATCCCCTACTGGGACATGTGCAATCACTCTAATGGCTACGTGAGTACAGATCTTATCTTCCTGCTTCTGTTACTGTTAGGGGTATGGGTGTTCCATGTGTCTGAGATGATGCAAGTCACTATGGAGCGTTGGGTCACTTAGACTTGTCTGAACTTATGATCATGGGTTTGAATCCAAGATTAGCTCTGATAACGTTTTTTGGGTTGGTTTTTTTTGTAAAACTGTTTAGTTATGCAAAAAAACTGGTTATGGAAGGGGAGACCCATACCAAGGTAGTCCGGGATCCCATCTTTGTTAATATTTCTAGGTTTGTCAGGACAAAAATGGTTTACGTCAAAGACCTGCATCACTTTGGGATGCTGTGATAAAACTGAAATACTGTTCAAAGTGGCATCAAACCCAACTCACTCACTCATTTTATATCTTCTAATATGCTAAGGGTAAATATGATAGGTGGGCTTGTAGCACCAGTAGACAGCTGTAGTGGTGTTTGTTGTTTCAGTTCACAGCCGACTACAGTGTGGAGAAGGACTGTAGTGAATGCTACACTCTGAGGGAGTTCAAAGCCGAAGAACAGGTGAGAGGTGTTTGTGGACACACATGTAACTGCCACTGTTTCGATTTTGGTGGAACTATTAACATAGTCTGACCAGAATTCTTACAAATATTTTTATGTAAAATATATTACAAATTTTATCCAAAAGAACACTAGATATGTCCCCCTCAACAATCTATTCTAAATCCCAGAGCACAGTGGTTACAGGATAGGATTACACAAAGAGAGGTGAATAAAAAACTTTAATGGGAGCTGTATGATGGGATTAGCCACACAACTAGTTGGAACAACTTCTTCTTCAGCAAGACCTCACACAGCTCTTCTTTCTATCAAGAATAAGCAGTAAATGCCATTAAGAAGTAATGCAGGATAAGGTAAAAAACAAGTGATTCTCTTTCTGATTAAATCCTCCTTGGGGCACTTATTGCATTTTCCTTGCTCAAGAAAATCTATATGACATAGTTGTAACCATTTTCCTTAATAAAAAATGTTACCACACAAAAAACTTCGTTTTTGTATGATATACGACCACCCTTACGGGGCCTCACCCCCAACGGCGCCTCACGCCAGGGGGAGCAACTCTCACCCAAATCACTTTTCTTATGTCATCTGTAAGAGACAGACGTGTTGATTTTTCACACAAGACAAAAATAAGAGAAATCTATCGTTCGACAAGAACCATGGCTGACCAAACTGTATGTATGGTACATTTCTTTCATTGCAAAGGCATAATACCTCACATTGTGAAGTTATAGAGTTGTAATAATATGCCACGTGCACGGTACCTTTGAATTCAAACTGCCGTAATGGCGTCCATATTGTAGTTCCACGGGCTGATACATGTAACACCAAGGCCAATAAGAAACGGCTTGGGGTTTTGTTATATCATACAGCATTGGTCTACAATTTTTTTCCTTTACAAAACCCAAGGTGGTGTGTTAATTCATAAACTACACTTACCTTTTTTACGGGTTTTTACACCTTAGCGCGTAACACGCCCCTTTGGTGTTATAATTATACTACGACATTGGCTATTAGTATCGCGTTACAAATCGCATTCTACATTACGCCTTTGCTTCTAGTTTCACAATTTATGCACGTATCTTTCCGATCTTTATATCGCACTGATACACGTTGATACCCTTCCCGCCCACCTCAGAAATTACGGTCTTGTTTACAAGACCTTCAAACTGTGTACGGGTTGTTCTAAGACAGGCACGAACGCTGCCTAATATGTCTGGCGGAGGACATTGCCTTTACCCCCCGGGGCCCCCAAAAAGAGACAAGTTGACTTGTTCCACTTTAAAGAGGTCTATTAAAGGCGGGGGGTAGATATCAGATCTACTAAGACATCCCCCCCCCCCCCCCCCCTCCCCATCTAAAAAGGGTAAAAAAGCTGCCGAGATTGTCTCCCCCACTCCCTCTCCGGGGGCCGGGGGAGAAGGCTCGAGGGTCCCCGTAGTAAGCACTGCACCCTCTCCTGCACTGTCTTTGGCAGACTTTTCTGCGTTACTTAAGTCGCAGATGGCGTCGATGATGGAGGAGGTAAAGTCTCAGCTCCGAGAGGAGATGCGGACCGAGCCTTCCCCGTTGTCGGCGCCAGACGCGGCTTCGAGACCTTGTGATATGCCCGGCGTCGGCCGAGGCAGGCCACTTGGTCTCGGGGACGATCTCAGACCGGGCTTCGGCGCCGGCTCGAGGTCGCTCCCCAGCGGAGGGGTGGCGGGCGCCGGCCCGTGCACTACCGACGCACAATTTTTCCCTAGCGGAGCCAGACGCCTCTTCCCAGGCCGAGGCTTTCACTAGTGGATGCGTAGCCCGGAGCCAGGGGGGGTTCCCTTGGTCTCGGGGACGATCCGAGACCGAGCTTCGGCTCCGGCTCGAGGTCGCTCCCCAGCGTAGTGGTGGTGGGCACCGGCCCGTGCACTACTGACGCACAATTTTCCCTAGCGGAGCCAGACGCCTCTTCCGAGGCCAAGGCTTTCACTAGTGGATACCTAGCCCAGTGCCAGGTGGGTTCCCTTGAACCTCCGGCACCTGGGCACCGGGACTGGGCCTCGGGCCGGGTGCAGAGACACGTGAGGGACAGGATTGTCCAGGTAATGCCTTAGGTGGCTGCGCCCATGCCAGAGTCGGAGACACCCAACTTGACTAAGGTCAAGCAGGGCCGTCGGTTGCCCCCCCTTTCCCGTGTGTGGTGCGGAGTTGAAGGCTGCTTACATATGCTTCGAGGAGCAATATCATAATGCATGCCAACAGCTCCGTGTGTCCGTACACTCCGCGTATCTGTCGGCTGTACAGAGGGAGTTAGCGGGAGAGGGGCCGGCCGACTCTTCGGAGTTGGCCGCGCAACTAACATTATCTTGCGCGGGATGCTATTCGTAGCTGTGCCTCGCAGATGATGTGCGCTGTTATGTGCATGCGCAGGCGGTGGATGTCGGTATCTAAATACTCGACTTACACACGCCAAGACCTACTTGCTTTGCCGTATAAGAGGGTGCCACCCTCTTCCCTGGGGCTCAGCAGGTGGTCCGAGAGGCTGCTCAATTGTGTACTTCCATCAAAGACTCATAAGGCGTTGTTGGAGGTACCAAGCGTTAAAACCGCGTAAGCGGGCCTCTCCAATTGTCCCCTCCTACGCTAACGCACGGGTCAGACGTCCACACCTGCTTGGAAGCCGCAGCTTCCTTCAGGTATAAGGGCGCCGGGAGGAGCAAGAGAGGCACGGGCCGGGGCAAGGCAGCTGGTCGAGGCCAACAGCTTTTTCGCGGGGCTGTGAACGTTGGGTTCCCATTAGCGCCCGAAGAGGCCCGGGTGAACCCACAGTCGCAAGTTATCGGGAAAACTCATCCGCTCCTCCACTTTTCCGGGATAAAGCACACTCCGGTGCCTGCTACCCGAGAGAAGGCGGAATTCCTCCGTGCCGAGGTCGACGCACTTCTTATGAAAGCTGCGATCGAACCGGGTCCCGAGGGACAGGAAAGCGAGGGCTTCTACTCGAATTGTTTCCTAGTCACCAAACAGTGATCTCAACTGTCGAGACAGGAGAATGGCTAACGTCAATAGACTTAAAATACGCCTATCTCCACATACCAATACACCCCGAGTTCAAGAAATACCTGAGGTTTTCTTTCGACGGGAGGTGTTATCAGTTCAGGGTTCTACCATTCGGGATCTCCACGGCCCCGAGGGTGTTCACCAAGCTGATGTTGATTCCCGCCCAAGTGGCCAGGTCAAAAGGTCGGTTCTGCCATCCGTACCTCGACGACTGGTTACTAAGAGCTCTATTGCAATCCCTGAGTCAGATAGCTACACAACAAGTGATAGATATTCTGATCACTCTAGGGTGGATGGTCAATCTCAAGAAGTCAGATCTGAGCCCCACTCAGAATCTAGTCTTCCTAGTGCCTAATTTCAACACGGTGAGAGGACTTGTATCTCTGTCACAAGATATCAAGTCCCTTAAGCGCAAGTCACACTGCTCGTACATGGCTCCAGTTACTGGACAACATGGCGGCGACAGTGGATTTGGTCTGGCGGGCGCGCTTGAGAATGAGTCCCATTCAACAAGCACTCCGTCGACTTTGGGCGAACTCGGAAGATCTCGAGACTGTGCTCGAGACTCCGTAGTGGCTCATTACACACCTCCAGTGGTGGACCGAGGTCGGGAATCACTCCCGTTCCGTCTCTCACAGTTCAAACAGACGCGTCACTCTCCGGCTGGGGAGGCGTTCTGAGTGATCACACTGCCTCGGGACTATGGTCCCAGCAGGAGATCAAACTGCATATCAATGTGCTAGAACTGAGAGCGGTCAGGTTGGTGTTCCAACGCTTCCCGGATCTGCTTCGTGGCCAAGTGGTTCGTCTAGAGATGGACAACCAAACGGCGATGACTTACATCCGGAAGCAGGGGGGAACGGCGTCTCCGTCGCTTCGACGAAAGACGTGGCAGTTCCTACTATAGTGCGACTCTCACGATATCAGGGTGCTACCTGTTTATCTCCCGGGGGTGGACAACCTCCGTGCGGACGCTCTGTCTTGCCGGATCCTCGCTCCTCACGAGTGGAGGCTCGACCCGGGGATATTCGGGATTTTCTCCCTGTTATACAGGTCGTTACAGGTGGATCTGTTTGCGTCTGGGTTAAATAACCAGACACCAACGTTCTGCTCCCGAGTCCACGACCCGAGGTCGGTGGCACCGGACGCCTTTCAGCTAGATAGGACGGACAGTTCTGTGGGCATTCTCCCCAGTACCTCTGATTTCCAAGGTCCTGTCTCAGCTAGGCACTCAGCCAGGCACACAGCCTGCGCGACTTATTGTGCTCCTGGCACCTCTTTAGTCGGCGCAGTGTGGGTTTCCAGTAATACTCAGGTTTCTGGCTCAGCCTCCTGTTATATTACCTTTACGACCGGACCTCCTATCCCAGAACGGGGCCCTCCACCCGAATCTCAGGATTCAATGGGTGGCTTGGCCACTGTCAGGAATCGCCTCCAGAAGAGCGGTATTCCTGCACGAGTTGCAGACACAATACTGGCTTCGCGGAGGGATTCGACAAACGTTCAGTACGATAGATAGGCCTGCTATGCGCCCTGGTGTGTCGATAGAGGGATTGCAGATCTTTTTTCTGCAGATCTCGTATCCGTGCTTGAGTTTCTCCAGTCGCGACTAGATGACGGCCTGGCCGCATCAACAGTCCGAGGGTACTCTACAGCTATCGCAGCTTTTCACGTCCCTGTCGACGGGGCACTTCTGGGTGCACACCCATTAGTGCAGCGCTTTTTAGCAGGTGTGGACAGGATCCGACCGCCTGTCCGGCGGATCAGTCCCCCTTGGGACTTGTCAATCATTCTCGATTGGCTGTCCGGTCCTTCCTTTCGGGATCTGTCGTCTCTCTCTCTTCAGCTGTTGAGCTGGGAGACGGCGTTCCTTGTGGTGGTAACGTCCGGCAGACGGGAAGGCGACATTCGTGTTATGTCAGCCGATCCCAAAATAACTGTCTTCCATGGGGTCGATAAATATCACCGGGACAGTCAGTTTTCGTCTACCGGACTATTACCGTCCTAGGGTCGCACACGATTCCACGTGAACGGCTCCTATTGAGCTACCTGCTCTTTCACAGCCTTCCTCGTCGGGGACCACTGCAAGACATGCTCATGTCTTGGATGTCCGCACGACTCTCAAGGCCTATATCAGCAGAAATATGGGTGTCCGTAAGGATAACCAACTATTTTGCTGTTACTGCGGTAGGAAGGTTGGCTCACCTGCGAGTAAATAATCTATCTCGAGGTGGATAGTTTCAATTATTTGTACAGCGTATACGCTTACAGGCAGGGACCCCCCTACCAGGTTGAAGGCTCATTAGGTTAGAGCAGTGGCTGCGTCAAAAGCGTACGCCGCGGCTCTGCCCATTGAGCAGATCTGCTCCGCGGCTATTTGGAGCCAGCCGAGCACGATTCATCAAACCTTACCAACTCGACAAACACTCAAGCGAGCGTACTCGGTTTGGTCAGTCAGTTCTCCGAACTGGGCAAAGTTCTAATCTCTAGCTGATTGAGCAATCGAGATTTTAGACAGTCTTCCGGTTATACTGCTCAGTAATGGTCCGGATTTTATCTTCTGCGGTCGATAAATATCAGTCCTTACTACTCGATAATACTCGTATTTTGCGCACGCACTCCTTCTGGCCGAGTGCCTGGACCCTCTGGCCTAGCTCAGCGCTGGTTATGGTCTCTCGTGATCTACGCCCTTATATCACTTGTTCAAAAAAAGTGTGGGGGGTGGGAGGTGTTTCGAGTTCTCAACTTATGACAAGCCGCAAAAACAGGTTTTATCATAATATATGGTCGACCACGCCCTGTCTCTAGCCCCCGCCTTTCGACGGTGGTGCCTCACGATAAGGTTGGTTCCATTTATTGAACTCAATATTTTATTCTGTTGAATAATCAAATACGATGTATTTATTTACGCCTGTTGCTGACGGATGCCACTTCCTAGATTATCTTTGGGAGTCTGTCTTATGCAATAAGTGCCCAAAGGAGGATTTAATCAGAAAGAGAATTTTACAAACCTGTAGAGGTTATGAATTCTCTGATGAAATCCTCCTTGGGGCACGGCCACCCACCTCCCCACATTCCGTCAGCATTTGACATATGGAAAGTGATTTGGGTGAGAGTTGCTCCCCCTGGCGTGAGGCGCCGTTGGGGGTGAGGCCCCGTAAGGGTGGTCGTATATCATACAAAAACGAAGTTTTTTGTGTGGTAACATTTTTTATTAAGGAAAATGGTTACAACTATGTCATATAGATTTTCTTGAGCAAGGAAAATGCAATAAGTGCCCCAAGGAGGATTTCATCAGAGAATTCATAACCTCTACAGGTTTGTAAAATTTTTATTTGATTATTAGCTGGATGTATTTTGACAATTTACACACACACACAATCATGGTGGGAATGCATTGTGATTACACCACCTGCTTCATTGCAGATTTATGTCCCATTATGTGTTGCACTAACATGTCTGGCTGGGACCCCCACCCCTTGTGTCTGGACTGCTCTGATATATGTTCGACAGCTACAAATGAAGCTTTTGCATACCCCTCTCTCCCACAGCCTTCTCCAAGTACCTGAGTGTTCCTCGGAAGTGCTGTTCAGCGCAAGCTTGTAGACGAGCAGCTTGGAAGATGTCTTAGTCCTCTGAGACTGCTTCATCTCCATTTGCCACGGCTACTCCATCTTCTTCGGGCTGGAAGCCTCTACCAGCGTCTACCCCTTAGATCGGCCTCCCCTGCATCTTTACTATCTACATTGATATCTACTCCTGAGATGATAGTACTCCAATTGCCAATCACCACACTGACGACTATGCCTATCTACACGTTGATGACCACCCTGGCGCTCGCGTCACCCTTGGTGCCTACGACCCAGAGATCGGCCTTCACGCCTTGTCATTAGCATTGACGCCAGCACTCCTGAGCAGCTACACGGCATCACCGGCACCTCCGGAATTCTGATCTTTGCTCCTTAGCAGTTAGGCGGCGCTCTCGATGCCTCCGGTATTCTATGACAACCCATGGCGCCAACGACCCAAAGATCAGCCTTCCCACAAGCAAACCACTTGTCATCAGTGTCGGCGCCAGCACTTTTGAGCAGCTACACGGCGCCTCCGCGATTCGGACCACGTCCTTCCAGCTGGCGCCTAAACAGCTCATCTGGCTTTGGCATGGATAAAGGAGACACTATTGGTCCAAGCCTACCCCAATTCTGCCAGGCCCCATGCTAAAGAACGAAGACGTAGAATTTGTGATATTGTCTCCATCGTCGGTGTTCAAGATTCCTCGGTTGAAGAAGGATGATGTCTCCATTTTCGATTTGGAAGTCAAGGACATAGCACACGACCGGGATGACCTCATAGACAGAAGCCATAACACGATCTCCTTATGCTTACATACTCTGATTCTACAGGCTTATGAGACCGCCGGATTGGATCCCCCCGCAGGGCCAACAACCCCCACGAGATCAGAGGGGTCGCGGGACATGTGATTGGCTTTCATACATCGGAGTTCAAACATTTTCCACAAGCCCTTTACAGCACCTGGCCTCATGGTGTGGATTCTGTGAAAGTTCCCGCCAATTCTCCCTGTCTAATCAACATTGGCTGAACGATTCCACGGAGAGGGCGATAGTTTTCTCGATGAATTTCCTTCCTGTGGCTTCTGGAAGACATGATCTGCACCAAAAGTTGAAGATCACCAGTTCACACCCTCTTCGACCTTGGACAGAATCGTCATATGCTACCACCTCGGGATCATCGTTCACAACACAGCACCAGATGTCACACTTAACATGGTGATCAACGTGCCCCTTCACGCTGGCCACATCACACATTCTACACAGAACTTGGAAATACCCTTGCCTGTCAACCACACAGTTCACAGGGGATGTGTGGAGCTTGAACAATATGCAAGATTCCAGATTACTGCGCCTGGTGATATACATGTCACTTATCAAGAACGCTCTGACTGTAAACATCTCTGACTACAATTAGGTCAACTGTCCTAATGGCAACCGTGCTGTGTAATTGTACAGATTGGTTTGCATGCTTACTTGTACATAATGCTGCAACCACTCGACCAGACGCCTGTCGATGTACATCAATGTGACCGAGTCACCAACTGTGGTAGACCTATGCCGATACCAACACCACGCCTCATTGTCACCTCGCTATAAGAATGGGAGTGCTTGTGCAACATCCAGGAAGTGGAAATGATCACCTTACCTCTTAAGGTATGATCTTTCAGGCCAAAGTTTTCCAGGAAGTCAGCTTTATCTACAGGAAACAGTTTCAACTTCCCACGAACTGTTACATCGGAGCGGAGCAGGTTTATTTTGTCTCAATGGGATTTGGCTTTGGTTCGCTAGCAAACACAATTTTCCACGTATCATGGAGACATGACACGATCAGAGACCCTAGAAATGCGGACTCTCCAACTTTACAGCGCACTAGGCACATCAACAATTTGGTACACTCCACTCGTCATCTCAAACGACAACCTCACGGCGGTCTGGTGCCTGCGCCATCAGGGGAAAACTCACTCCCTCCTTCAACAGATGTTCTGGTTCTTGCAAACAGGCCTACATGTTCTGGTCCAGCACAGTCCTGGATGTTGGAATGTTCTCGCAGACAGAGTGGAAACTCTGTCCGCATACCTTTGATCTTGTGTGTCGACACATCGGCTACCCCAACCTCGACCTGTTTGCCATCAGCCAGAAGTTGATGGCACCTTGGTGGCCTGTGAGGGGCGGGTTTGTGGATTTCAAATGGATGTCTGCCATCAACCGACTCAAACTCCCAGGTTGGCCAAACCTGCTGATCCACCCTCACAGCAAACGTCGCCACCCGACTCCAGACAGGTTACATTTTCACAACTGCTCCATCTACAAAGAGCCCTAAGCACTCTGAGCGTTGTTATGCCGCTTTCTTCTAGAAGACCAGAAGGCCAAGTTCAGATTTCAGCAAGACCTCACACAAGCTCTTTCTCTCTGTCAAGGACAGGCAGTATATGCATTAAGAAGTAAAGCAGGATATGTATACAAATATTAAAAATGTCACGGATTTTATTAGTTTTAGCTTGTGATGGGTAGGTTTACAGGGAGTAGTTTGGTGATATAATGTGATGTAAAAAGATTATTTCAATACGGCTGCTATGGCAGCCCTATTGAAAAACCTGTTTATTGCCATGCCATTTCTTTTTTACAATGTGTGAAATTTAGTATCTTTGTTGTTAGTAGTGGGACTCAATATATATGATCCTCTTATTGCAGTATTTTTATCACCTCGAGGATGCTCTTATATTCTCTTATAATGCATTTCCTCCCACTGTAAGCATCAACTCAGAAATCACAGACCAAAAAAAGCTGAATCTTCATATTCTTAATTTCTCCAAGAGGTTCATAATCGAGCCACCATATTGAAAAGCTTATTACTTACCATTAGTCAGTTTTATTCAAAATGTAATGAAACCTAGTATGAAAGTGGGGTTAGTTGTGGAGCTCATTACACATGTTCCATTTTTCGTGATATTTTAGATTTTGACCTTATTCTGACCTTTACACTTTCAACATGCGCTTAAATTCTCTCAAAATCGTTACCTTGCACTGTAACCATCATCCCCTCGTCCACATGATTGTTTATGGGCTGCAATCATTTGTTTCCCAGATCTTCATTTTCTATGGTGCTCGATCCAATGCAGAGTTCCTTGTTCACAATGGATTTGTGTACCCAGAGAATGAACATGATCGCCTGTGTCTGAAATTAGGTGAGTCCCTTGCTACTGTGAAAATAGTCTCTTTTTAGCTCATATTGATCATATTGATGTGAAACCTTCTTGAATATTTGCCATCTGTAATGTGAATCTTCCTTAACTTGAAATAAAACTTCTCAGCTGGGTAATATCTGCAACATATCTGCTGTCATATCTCATGTTTAGAAATACAATGTTTGGATCAAGAAATATAGATTTGGTTCATTGTTTAGGTATCAGCAAGGGGGACCCTCTTTTCGCAGCCAAGGCTGAAGTCCTCAGCCGGATTGGGCTGCAGCCGTAAGTTGACATTTTATAAAACACCATACTCATACAGTTTTTGTGATATTTGACTTCAAAGCTTTTCATGAATAAACTGAATTTCTGGAGTATTCACTACAGTGAATATGGCAACTTGTGATCATTGCATTGTCAGGGTCAAGGCTGGTTCATACACGACCATTGTTGTTCAGACTCTGAAAGTTTAAAGTTATAGAGAAACATAAGTGGCAGTTCGTCAGTCAATACTATCATAAGATCATATAATGGGGACTGTAATCTTATTGTGGTTGCTTTGTGCATGAGTTTAGGATCACAATGATGATGTTAACTGCAATATGTTTGCAATATGATGGTGGTGATGATAAGGATGATGGTGGTGATAAAGATGGTGATGACGATGGTCATGATAAGGAGGGTGATGATAAGGATGGTGATGATGGGATGTGATAAGGGTGGTGGTGATAAGGATGGTGGTGACTAGGCTAGTGATGATAAGGATGGTGATAAGGATGATGGTGATGATAAGGATGGTGGTGATAAGGAGGATGGTGATAAGGAGGGTGGTGATAAGGAGGGTGGTGATAAGGAGGGTGTTGATAAGGATGGTGTTGATAAGGATGGTGATAAGGAGGGTGGTGATAAGGATGGTGGTGATAAGGAGGGTGTTGATAAGGAGGGTGGTGATGCGGAGGGTGAGGATAAGGAGGGTGCTGATAAGGAGGGTGCTGATAAGGAGGGTGGTGATAAGGAGGGTGTTGATAAGGATGGTGATAAGGAGGGTGGTGAAAAGGAGGGTGTTGATAAGGATGGTGGTGATAAGGATGGTGATGACAAGGATGGTGAAGACAAGGAGGGTGATAAGGAAGGTGATGATAAGGATGGTGCTGATAGGATGGTGATGACAAGGATGGTGAAGACAAGGAGGGTGATGATAAGGATGGTGATGATAGGATTGTGATGATAGGATGGTGATGATGTTGGTGATGATGTTGGTGGTCAGGATGAAGATGGTTATGTTGATGATGCTGGCTGTGATGATAAGAATGGTGATGATGCTGCTGTTGTGACTTCAGGTCCAGAGCGTTCTTCCTACATGTGGGTGATAACCCTGTTGATGGAGATCTGCTGGCATTCCTTAGAGTCTTCAACATGGAAGAAGGTGAGTCTTTCACTTACCAAATGACTTGCAAACAGTTTCACTCAGACTGTTTATGACTGAGGGTCAAGGTCATATCCCAGATGTGTGTATGACTGTGTTGTTAACATACCTAGTAGCCTGGGTTTTGCTGTGTTTAAGTCATTCTCATCAGACACATGTTTTACAAGGTAGCTAGAGGCATTTGAGATTCTGACAAGTACATCATATAATCTGACTAAATTGTTTGATAGGCATTACTGAGAAGTTGACGGATGACAAGATAGACACAATTTTATGGATAACAACTTCTTTCAACAAAGACTTGCTTGACAACGGTATAAGGATCTATACCAAAACGTCACTTTTCACAGTATTAAAGAAGTTTTTATCCATAAAATTGTGTCTATCTTCTAATCTGACTAGCCTTTTTAAAAAAATGACTTTGATAACTTTCAAATTTCTTTTGGTCCTGTTGGGTTAAACACCTAGTCACAACTAGAATAACACTGTGTTGGGTGGCAGGTCCTCTGAAGTCCAAGTTCAGCAGTGACACGAGTCAGGAGGGATTGGAACAGCTGAAGGACCTCGAGGCGCCCGTGACAGAGGAGAATGAACAGAAGGTGTGGACCTTCCTGCAGACCAGGGCGGCCCTCTTGCTCAAAGCCTACCCAACCACACTTGAGGTGAGAGCTACCAGCTGTCTGGGCAACTTATCATTACTGGTTGTAAATATGAGTGATCTGATTGGCCACTCATAGATGGTATTTTCCCAATTCATATTTTATAGTATTAGTGGATGGTGTGGCTTTGTACAGTTGACTTGTATTCTACTGACCAATTTGAGCAAATTAATCATTTCTTTCCCTAATTGCCTGCATTGGTCACTTAGTTGGGAATTCTGGAGAAATCCCTGAGTTAAGACACAGTTATGCACACTGTTAATATGTCACATGCATGTTGATATCCCTCAGGCTGATGAGGAGCAGTTGAAGAAATCGGACTTGTCCCCGGCACTGCTTCTCGCTCTCCAACTCAGGACTTGTGAGAAGAAGATTCTGCAGACCACAGTGGACTATGCCGCACAGAGGAAGGCCGGCAGTCAGCAGGAGCAGCAGCAGCAGAACGGGAGCTAGCAGGGTGTTTCACGCTGCCACTGTGTGCCTCGGACATGTGAGATGGACGTGGGCCATATGGACCATGCAGGACGAGACTTGGATCGTATGGACCATGCAGGACAAGACTTGGATCGTATGGACCATGAAGGACAAGACTTGGATCGTATGGACCATGAAGGACAAGACTTGGATCGTATGGACCATGAAGGACAAGACTTGGATCGTATGGACCATGAAGGACATGCACTGTGCATTGTGGAGAGTTCATAAGAGTTGGGAAGATGGGTATCAAGTGCATTTGTGTATCAACATGGAGCACGATAAGATAAGCAAGAACACACCAGTTTTCCCGTGGATTCATGGTATCAGGATTTGTCGTGACCATATCATTTCATAAAATGTTTGAATATATTTATTTCATGATAAACACGTTGAGGAGTGTCTGAAACCTGGCGCTAGCCCTCCTCCTGTGCAGTCAGTACACAGTTTTTACTGGACAGAAAACACGAACAATGTTAGCATTGCTGGGGTTAACCAAGACTGAAATAGGTTTGTTTCCTTTAGGCACTTGATAAATCGGCCATGGCACCCCTGGCCTCACTAGCGTCATAAACCTTGCTGGACAAATACTGCCATTATTAATCCAGGCTTGAGCATAGGGGCCACTATTTCCAACAGACACATCCATTAGGGGAGCCAGGTTAGAAGAGGGCCCCAGGCGGAGACTAAATTGGATAAAATGTTCAGATTCTGTGACTTGGTTGGTTTTTAAGGAATTAACAGGGCCCAAGGATATATACTACTAAAAAGAAGTTAAAGAACATGATTTTATCCTATGACTGGAGTGAACTCTCATGGCTGGTGGGTATTGCAACACACAGCCTTCCACTTGTGGGTGTTCCTTAACTTGTTTTGAGTAGTATATGTGGTTGTAATGTTATTTTCTAGATTATCAACATGGGAGTGAGCAATAGTAGTGTATATGACGTTTCTTCTTATTATTATGATCCAAGTTGAGCTGGGTTCCAAGTCTTAACATATTTTGTAGAAAATCCAGTGATGAAATATCTCATGTGTCTTGTCTTCATTTGTTTGTACATTTTAGTTTTTAGATCTGCAATTACAAACATCTTGTCCAGCTCATTTTGATTTCATGCAGTGGTATCTTTGCTATGTTTTTCAGCCAAACATCATATTGTTGTGTTGTGTATTTCATTTGTTGTTTGATTATTTATTATGTTGAGTTTCGGGATGAAAACCACTTCTGTAGTTTAGAAATAACTTGTAAACCAAAAAGTGACATCTACGTTTCTAGTGGCTTAGTTTCAATGCTGTAAGAACATCATTAAAATGTAAGAAAAACACAAGCTCTATGAGACATAATCATTGCAATGTACAGAAAGTATGTTGCCAAATACACCCATAAGCATAAGGGCAGGAAGATCAAATGAAAATACTTTCCAATATTAGCACATCCATTTTAATGCTTCTCAGGGCCGGTTGGGTAGCCTAGTGGTTAAAGCTTCGCTCGTCACGTCGAGGGCCCGGGATCGATTCCCAACATGGGTACAATGTGTGAAACCCAATTCCGGTGTTCCCCGCCGTGATATTGCTGGAATATTGCTAAAAGCGGTGTAAAACCAAACTCACTCACTCACTCACACTAATACTTCTGAACATATTGATCAGTTGAAGCAATGTGACATCACACTGCTTCATTGGTGAGAACCATAATGTATATACATCCATTGTTGGTGAGCTCACAAATTCCATGACTGTCACAAAGTTTTCTGTAGGGTTAATTTTCCATATACTTTCTTCATAATTTCATTCTTAAAATTGCAATCAGTAACATATGGAATAACCAACTCTGAACTAGGAATTATCCATTGTCTTGAATGAAAGCTATTAGACAGTTGCCAATGGGTCGCGGATACACCATTCATTCACTCTGAAGAAACGATCCATGACTTGTCGTACCTCATAGGTAAGTCACCTCTTAAGAAGAAGCCAAAGTGGTTACATTTGCAATTTGTAGCTGTTATAAAGAACATGAAAACCATCCTGAGTGGAACAGACGACTATTTCAGGTATGTCTATGGTTTCAAGGCCCCTCAAATACAGTTTGAGCCTGTTAATACTGTCCTACATTATTGCCAATGTAGTTAAAATACCCCTCAAAAAAGATTATTTTCCCCAGTGCTTTTGCTCCAGAGGCTAGCTTGTCATGTTGGTGTCATGTTGAGGGTGTTACCGTATTTAACCTTATACATGTCAGATCAAATAGAACTTTCTTTTTTGTGGGGTAGTGCTGTAGTGCTTATGTCATGTATGTATGGTCATTTATTGTGTTGAATATTGTAGAGGTCATGATATGCCTATGTCATGTTTTGCTACATATTGCAATGCTTAGATCAGATTGTTATTTTTAAAGAGATTTTTAAATGTTACATTTGACCAGGCTGACATGAGGTCATTAGTGTTTAAGTTGCATTACTGATTACTTTATGCTTGTTCTTATAGTACCGGGTATAATGCAAGCACCTTTGGTGTTAGGTATGTGATAGGTAAGCAAACACTATCTGTCAGGATTCCTGCAAAACCTGGTTAATAGAACCTTTTGAAAATTGATACAGAATTGAAAAATTAGAAGATAAACCTCATGTGTTTTCAATTTATATGTTTTGAATGTAGATTCAATATCTGTAAATTTCATATCTATGCGGTTTCAAAATTTTCAACCATTGAATCAAAGTTTAAAATCCATCAAGTTGTCCCTGTGATATTGCCACACAGGCTGTAAATAATGTAGAAACTGCAACATATTTTGCTTCGTTTAAGAAGTAAGATCAGTATTTGAAGCTGTTAATCGGGCAGGTTTGTGAAAGAAGTGCTTCTGAATAAATATTTTCTTTTGCAGTAATGCAGCAGAATCATGCTAAATTCGATATTTCTGGCAGACCAATCAGAATACAGGATTCTACAATGTGATGGTAGACTATGAATTGATACATTGGTAGGCATGTCATGTGTCTTACGATTAGGTGTAAATTGACATACATCGGTGAATTGTGACACACTTGTTAATGTGTACTTGAGATGCTGGCTACCTCAGCTGAAACACTACTCAGTATGCTAGTTTCATCACCACCTGAACTGCTGTGCAGGGAGTGTTTATTGTTCTCATATGTAATATGTGCATAGCAACAGAAAATGTTACATATCTTTCTCCATAAAAATAATAAAAAAGATACTATACAGATGCTGTTATTTGTTTTGAATTGGTTTACGTGAAAAAAAACACAATGTATCATTCCTTTAATGCCTGCAGACACATGCTGCTAGGTGTGTATTTGGAATGTACTGTACTTGATACATGCCAACTGTTAAGGATTTACTTTTGTACATTCTTCGTAGTTAGGCTCAGCCACCTCTCGTATCAAGAGCATATTTCTATGACATGTCTCTGGCTACAACTTAATAGACTTTCAATTTCAAGAAACTGAAGTAGCTGCCTCAACATATACTCTTCAAAAAAAGAAACTTGACACTGACTTTCAAAATGTAATATAATGCGATTGTTTCAAAATAGGACACAGAAACCATAATTGAAACACTGTTTGAAGTTCACCTAGACAGACACACGTACACGATACAGTTAATGTCACAGGGGTACAGAAATGTCAGTATCGGTTGTGCCCACCACATGTGCATCAATCACCGCTTGACACCGACGACCCATAGATGCAATCAAGTTGTCAATAACACGCTGTTGGATGTGCTGCCATTCATGCTGTAGTGCATCAAGAAGCGCCGGAAGTGTTTGGGGCGGTGGATTCCTTCTGCGAACGCATCGATCCAACTCGTCCCACAGATGCTCAATCGGGGACAAATCTGGTGACCGGGCTGGCCAAGGTAATGTCTGGATGTTGTGGTGGTGTAAGAAGTCCTGACAAACACGTGCGTTTTCCTGCTGGAACTGTCCGCCATGAACGTTGACGTGAGGAAGAACGCAAGGCTGTAGGATCAAGTCTGTAACGCACACCTGTCAATGCACCTTCCACATGCACGAGAGGCGTCCTACCACCGTGATGAATTCCGGCCCATACCATGACACTCCCGCCGCCAAATGGGACAGCCTGCTGCACACAGTTGGGGGCGTAACGTTCACCCCGTAGACACGTGCGCGCCCATCAGGACGTGTGAGTAGGAAACGAGACTCGTCAGTAAACAGTACATTTCTCCACCTTGCACGTGCCGATCTAACCTTCTGTTGGCACCAAAGCAGACGGTCCGCCAGATGACGTGGGGTCAATACATCACGTCGAACAGGTCTTCGTGCAAAAAGTCCAGCCTCCCTCAGTCTGTTGCGTACCGTTTGATCTGATATTCTGCGTACCCCAGGGATCTGTGTGGTTGTAGACGTGGCTGTGGTGGTGCGGTCTCGGAGGTGTCGGAGGTGTCGCAGCCGGATGTATCGATCTTGTGCTTGGATTGTCACCCTTGATCTTCCTGACCTTGGTCTGTCGTCAACTCTGTTGGTGTTATTGTATCGGGTCCACAGTGCGGAGATTGTCTGCCTGGATACGCCAAAGTGCCTGGCCACTTCTTGCTGAGTTGCTCCAACTTGTAATCTCCGAATGGCGTTGTTCCGTTGAGCTGCATTCAGTCTTGGCATTCTGTCACCGCCTCTACTGCCGTTATAAGGACTGTATGAACAGCCGTTGATGTGGATTTTTATACCCATTCAGCAGGGGGGCCTGCATGCCTAAATGCAGGATCCTGTGCTGCACGTTTTTTACAGGCGGTTGCGTTTGGATGAAGCTGTAAAATTGATCCCGAAACGCTACGTTTATGTGCTTTGCATGTGTTTTCGCGAATTATAGACACATCATCGTTCTGTTTGACTTATTTGGTTCTCAATTAATGTAATTATTTTAGATATTTGGCAAAAAGTGGTTTTACATCTATGTCAAGTTTCTTTTTTTGAAGAGTATATTTCTCGCAGCAAACTGTTCTCATGAGCATCCATGATACATATTGTTCCCAGATGTTTAGAGGGTCTCCATAATTTCCTTCTTCAGAATGATTTGTTGTTTGTTTAACGCAGCACTCAGCAATATTACAACTACGTCGGTCTGTAAATAATCGAGTCTGGTGACTGGCATTCATGAGCATCGATCTACGCATTTGGAAGACGACATGCATCAACCAAGTCAGCGAGATTTCTATAAAAGTGGTATTAAATGCTGTGGCCTCTCAGCATTTGAGCAATAAAAAGCTGGTTGCTGTTGTACAAAGCGATCGTAGGGCTAAAGTGATCGTAACTCCCATAAACATAGACTTCCGACAGTCGTAGTTGCTAGGGTTGTTCTGTACAACGGCACCCTTTACTTCAGCCTTGAAGAGTTCAGAAGTAATAGTCATGGTCCTAGTCAACGAGCTTTCTATTACTTAGGATACGTCATAATGAAGATAGGAACAATTTCTGTTACAGCCCCTGTAATGTTATTGCAGGAAACGGTACTGACAATAATATGTTGTGTCAAATATGAAAACAAATATAATCAGGAGTATCGTGAGAATTTAGGATGAAACTTAGGCTGATATGCATGATTTCTGCCTCATGTGAAATCCTGATGCTGGCCAGTCCATATTTTATCTCCTTAATGCCGAGAGGGGCGGTGGGGTAGCCTAGTGGTTAAAGCGAAGACCCGGGTTGCCCACATGTGTGCAATGTGTGAAGCTCGTTTCTGGTGTCCCCCGCCGTGATATTGTCAAAAGCGGCATACAGCCATACTCACTCACTTAATGCCAAGCACCAGGCAGTGTAACAACAAGTACCATCTTCAAACGTGTTTTGGTATGACGCGGCTTAGGATCGAACCACCGACATTTTGCTCTCCAAGCAGACACTCTATCCTCTGGACCACGCAGGCATAAGTGCTTCTATACCTCAGTTTTCACGTGGATACGCAACTCAGCTACAGTATATACTGATTCAGAGCCAACCAGTCCTTGTTGTATCCACTTAAGGAAGAACGCCAGGCAGGGTAACAACAAGTTCCATCTTTTAACATCCTTTAGTATGACGCGGCTGGGGAGAGAAACATGCAACGACCTGCACTCTGGGCAGACGCTCCCACACTCGCCCACGGAGGAGTCCAGGTTATCTAGAATCAGATGGAATGGATGTTCCCAAGTGGTGGTTTTAAAGGCAAACGATTCGCTAACTGATGAGAGATCCATTCTGTAGAAAGCTATTGTATTGTTGAATTGTGCTTCCAAGGGTCAACAGATTGAAAACAAGGCTCCCTCAGCAGTGGTAAAACCAACAGCTTGGCCTTCCTACAGTTTCAGCGTAATTCTGCCTCTGGCTGTGACAGGGCGCGAGCTTCCTGATGGAAGGGTTGACAATGTCTGGAATATCAAAAGCTTGCATTTGAATTTTGGTCCCATAGGACAGACGAGAGACTTATTGAATTGTATTTTATAAAATCAATGAATAACCCACAATTCTCATTTAAATTTTACCCTGGGAGAGATTTAAATGTAAAAGTATCAATAGGCAAATGAAAGAGGGTGTGTATAATACGTTTGGTCCTCTTAAAAATAAGGATTTTTAATCTTTCACAGGCCATGCTTCATTACGTATTCAGTGACGATGTTGATAGTCCCAGCAGTGTAGGAAGCTGCTCGTTTTGGTGGAGGGGACAATGTGAGCTTACAGTTTATCAATCCATCATACTTCCAATGCATAAATGCATGTGGTGATGACGTGTCATTATTTAGCTGCTTGGTAGCTGTAATTAGTCAGAGTATATTTGGTCCTACGTCATGCTTCCAGCGCGAGACAGAATCGATCCCCAGTGCCCTTGTACCCTATGCTTGTCGTAAGATTCAACTGAAGAGCGGGAGGTTGGTCAACACGTGTCACCTGCCTGATGGTGTGTCTTTGCACATCATGGATATTTGCGCATACTGTCGACCACTGGTTTGTCTGGTACAGAATATGATTAAAAGCAGCTTTGTTAAAGAACACTCACCCACCCACTCACTCATTCACCCCATAATCCTTGCCTGCCAGCTGAGCGTATCGTCGCCCCTTGCATGCGGGTTGGTTATGAATGTCGCTAAATCCATTGTATTGTTAGCTGAGTGGCTTGTGCTGTAGTAAGCTATATGAATATTTATGAGAAATATTATTTTTTGTGCAAGCATCCGCTGTAGATCTGAGACATATATCGATTGTTTTGCCTACAGACATCAAAGTCTGCTTGGCACCTGTGCATTAAACTCTTGCCAGTCATTACACTGTCATCGATCGTCCTAGACTTGCTAGCGCGTTTTTAAATAAAAATAAAAACGACCTCTGAGAGTACTATACGGTTATACATGCTGATTGAAAGGAATAAGGAAACAATGAAAAGTATAGGGAAATTAGCTTTACTGCCGGTACGTTTGAAATAGCGCGAATACAAAATTCAACACATGTCAGAATCTAATGCTGAGATGTGTGTATGTGTATTGTTTCCAACGGGTCATTTTGCTGTGTCTAAAACTTAGTCTTCCCTTATTCATTTCCATTAGTATATATATGCAGGTCTTAGAAGTTTAGCACGAGCATAGGCATGGTGCTGACAAACCAAGCAAAAAAGTCACAGCGAATCTGGGATTTTAGCCTACTCTCATACATGTCGGACCCTGGCAAGCCAAAGGGACGCAACTCTGCACAGCGAATTGCGGCGCATTTGACGACTCGGTAAGTTGTGCCCCCATATCTCACAAAATTGATCGACAGCCAGAAAATCAACACGAAGCGCTATTCACCGATCAAGATACCACTCGCGGTACCAGGCTAAGGATTCATGTTATGATAACAACTCATCATATTACAAAAATACATATCTTGCAAATCCCTCATGAAACTTCACCTTTTCATATATAACAACTTTATATGGATAACATGAAATTAATAGCAATAAATGTTAATAATATCTATACAATTTAATTTTCATCTGTCATCAAAACTATTGGTTGGCTAGTCTAGTGGGTAAAGTGTTTGCTCTTCACGCCGAACACCCTGTTCGATTCCCAATGTTGGAATCATGCTTGAAGCCCATTAATGGTCTCCCTCGATGTAATAACATGAATCTTGTGGCGTTAAAACACTCTCTGATGTATGTAAAAATACCTTTGTAATATTTTGTAAACGAAATCCCCATTTTCAATTAAGCCAATGCCGGGTGTCAAAGCTTGCTATTGGACAAAGCTCCTATTCTTTCTACCCGTGTCAAGCAGCGGCCTAATGGTATTTAGTAACCTACATGCTCTTGAACACATAACATTAAGCCTAGATGACTGGTATTCGATCAAACATTATCCTTGGCTTCACTATCGGCAATTCTTGAATGAGACCTTGACGGGGCCAATCCCCCCTCTGCGCTACAATGGGCAATGGCAATGTGTGGGTTGCAGATTGCACCACGAGGCTGAGCATTATGATAGTACATTAGGAATTCATTATTGATATTTCTCTTATTGATATAGTCCTAAAGTATTCACCGATGCTTAGTATAGAACACTTTGAGCATGAGGCCTGGGTTACCCAAACTCCTGCATGGAACTATTTCAGTGAGTTGATTTATTCTTCAAATCTCTTTCTTGAAGATATATTTTTTGTCTTAAACGCACACACATCATTGCCAAGATGCACTTTTGTGCAAAAACATTTAAATATATTTATTATCATTGTTATGGGGTTTAACAGCTGTGTTGTGGTGAACGGTCGTCTTTGGACTTCATATGTAAGTTCGATCAGAACAGAAAGTGACGTACAATAGTTAATCATTGATACAGTGCGGTAAACGTTGAACTTTTTAAGGCATGAAAGCTTCTTCTTTTCACATTCATATATCTAGAATGATGCGAACCTAAACGTGATATGAATACATGTTTTTCTCTTTTTTCTCTTTTGTTTTTTGCTTCTTCTTTTCTCTCTGTCTCCGTTTGTCTGTCTGTCTGTCTCTGTCTGTCTGCGTCTGTCTTTCTCTCTGTTTCCCTGCATGTGTCTCCCCCCCCCCCCCCCCCCCCCCTCTCTCTCTCTCTCTAACTCTCCCCCTCTCTCTCCCCTCTTTCTCTCTGTGATATTAGAAAAGAAATACCGTCTACTGAAGCTTTTGTCTGCGCTGACATTCTTACGGAGGTCTCACAAACGAGTTGTTCTCTGATATCCCAATAACAGCTATTTCCCACGACAGCATCTATAATCGCAGATTTGAGAGATATCTCCTATTTATGTCTACATGTATACACCTATTACAAACAACAGTACAGTTCATTAACGTGATACCTTGAAGAGCGAACATTCAGAGAGCACTCATGTCTCACACAATACGATATTGTGAAGCTACCTGTAAATACGACACACGCGGCTTACGTCTATAGTACATTATCACGATCTCATTGCAACGTTGAAAGGGCCTCGCTCTACTGGGGACACTTGCATTGACCCCAGGTCAGGCGGAATGATACAATGGCTAAAGGTTGGAGAAAGTCCAGCTGTAACCTATGAGAATAAACATGGTCATGGCGAGTACACTTTCATAATACAACATCAATACGAGTGTATTATATAGAGCAGCTACATTAAACTTAACACCGAAAGGGTAGACTCTTCGACTGACATGGTGTCAGGGCGGTTAACCCTTTTTAGGCTATGTTATAATTTTCCAGATTGAGCGAGCTTTGGTTTCAAAGGTTCTTTCAATTGTGTGGTTATTTAGCTGAAACATTGCTGATGCGACGTTACATTTTAACTCACACATTTTATTTGTTCCCGAAATATCCGAATTGTTTTCTTAACTGCTAACTAAATGGTTCACAGGATGTCAAGGAATAATCCTTTCAGAGAATAATTTCATGTCTTGAAGCAGTAACAAAATATAGTTTGTCCCTAACAAAATATCTCGCACAGCGCTGAATTTTTATTTGCGGCTCTCTGTATATAGCGCCGTGTCACTGAATCGAACTCAAAACGAAGCAAATGGACCCAGGGGATTTATCCTGATAGAATCTGAGCTATAATACCCTGGATAAGTGAGGGTACGCTTTGAGCAGATTATCAGCTATAACGGCACAGTTCCCCCTCATCTTTGATGGAATAATCTTCCTTCAGGGAATCTTGGATTCGAACTAACGATCAGCGAATCTTGAGTCAGCATGTTTTGACTTCTATACAGATGAAAAGAGGTGCTACAAGGATCACACCTTGTGAAAGTTAATTACTTCTTATCAAGACCCGTTTAGTGTAAACTCAAGGCAGAGAATATACAATAAAAGGACAGCTAGTGTACCTTCAATAAACAAGTAAAGCCAAACAACAGGGTTTTCCTGAAACTGTTGTGGTTAACTAATCATCGGGGCAGATCAATTTGCCGCCCTTGTACACAGGTGAAATTTGATGAAAAACAATCTGGCACCCTTGCCACCAACACAATACGCCAATCCTTTCGCATGCTAATATTTGCAATATTGTCGCAAGCAAGGAGACGTCATAGACCCCTGTCTGTCCCATCGGGAAATGTCAGTTACACACGCTAGACATATGGTAGGGGTGTGCTGGAACCAAGGTGCATGTTCAACTTGTAAGGGCGTCAAGGAAATGAACATGTTTCGTTGAAGTTAAGGCATCTTGGATTTCACACTGGAACATGCTTACGGGGAAATAACACAGAGAAACACGGTATCAGAGGGAAAACTCAGTTATTTTACTAGTCACAAGAAATTATTTTTTAGTGAACGTAGATCTAAAATGCCATTCGTCAAACTGCAGGAGCGTGTCGTGACCTTGATCAGCAAGGGATGCCAGCAGAGAGGAGAGAGGGACATAGATATGGTGTTGCCATGGTTACGTAAAAAAAGCGAGCTTCTTCAAGGACTTGATACAGGTATGATTTCTTTTCCCTTCAGTGATAAGTTTCAGTTTACAAAAGCGAAAAAAACCCATCAATTATTGTAATGAAATCCAGAGCAATTGTGAAAAATATATCCCGAATAAGTTCTAGAATTTAACAGGTTTCTATCTCTTTCCGGTCGGGTAACCTAGTAGTTAAAGCGTTCGCTCGTCACGCCGAAGGCCCAGGTTCGATTCCCGTACAATGTGTGAAGCCCATTTCTGGTGTCCCCCGCCGTGATATTGCTGGAATATTGCTAAAAGCGACGTAAAACCAAATTCACTCACTCTATCCCTTTCCTTACACCAGTTTGTTCTGGTTGTGTTTCCACGTGGGAATACCAGGGCAGAATATGTCCCCAGTTCCCCGTGCTTAACGTAAGTGTCGACTAATGAGGATTGGGTGGCTTCACAATGTGTCCCTGTTTGTTGTATATGTCGTCTCACCTGTCGGCGTGGATTGTGGCCTACGCTGCCGAGACTCCCTGAATCATGTACAGCCGCTTGGGGAGTCCGGGTTAGAAAACGTCCCCGGCGTTAGAACACATCTGTGACGTCATTCTATTGTTTGAACGCTCCATTTCTTTTAAGAACGGAACTATTTTTTACATTTATTGACAAGTAAATAATTTCAATTTCTTTCCGAAAACATGTGTCGCCTGCGGATTTCGAACCCTCATCGTTTGATTTGAGATGTTTGAATTGTCAACCTCAGTTACGGCGGCACATGAAGGAATCGTGTGAAATTAGCTATTAAATATTTTCATAATTTTGCATAATGCTTAAAAGCTCAAAATAATTTGTATATAATACTGTGTTAGAGCAGGTTACCTGCAACAATGTTTAGGATACAACGAAATTATGAAGAGCCGTGTACCATGTATTGTAAATTTCAGCTCGGATATTCCCCTCTACATCAGTGCTAGTACGAGGCGACTACGTTGATCTCGGTGACTTCCATCGCGCCCAGACCGAATGGACGTTGCTCGTAGTATAAGCACCTGTTATGTCTGTCATATAACTGGACTATTGTTGAGTGCGGTGTTAAATAACATATAGACAATTACTTACATGCCGCTATTCAATAACTGGGTACTTCTGACTTGGGAAGTAAAACAATATTCATTAAATTTTACTGATGAGCTTTCTGAACAACTTGGTCCATGTGTTTCCAGTTGTGCTGAAGGATGTGATCAGGAACTGCAGCTACCGCCACTCCACCGTGGACGACGTCCTCATCAGACAGGGCGACAAGGGCGACTGGTGAGACAACGCTCCTGTAAAGCACGTACATAGTGGGGTGAGGTGGAATGGGGCTTAATGTCGCGTTCAAGATTATTGCTTTATATAGCGGCGTTCATTCACGTGTATGTGGGGGTGGGTGGGGGTGGTGGAATTGCGTGTTCTAGTCCAGACTAATGCTGGTTTCATAATGCTATCCCACTGATTTACCGCAGTTTATCGTGGATATCCCACTCAGACACATTATACTGGCTAGTCCTTGTTGTATTCCCGTGATGCCGAACGCCAGACAGGCTAACTACAAATACCATATTTGTTAACGTTTTTCGGTATGACGCGGCCAGAGATCGAACCACCGACCTTCCGCTCTCCGGGCAGACCTCTATCCTCTAGACCACGGAAGTGGTCCCTACACACGTACAGATCGAGCGGGGACGTGTACACGAACACGAAGACGGGTATAAAGTATGACTAGATATGATATCTAAAGATGATCGGAACATGGCTAGAAAGAGTCGACAGGTGCCAGCTATCTATTGCTGGCCACAAGAGTCGTCTTAGTGGATCAGGTGGCCGGTCAGTGACATAGTTGATGGCATGCCTACGACGACCGTGTGGATCGTTCAGACTTGTTCAGACTCGTTCAGAGCAACAAAATAATTAAACGGGCCAGTTAGAGTCGAACAATATCTGAACAGAGTAATGTGCATCATAGAAGCATTATGACGTTATGGCAGTTAGATGTAGTCCAAACTTCACTTGCTATGTTCGGAATATGTCTGAATAGAGTGGACATATGGCCAGTTAGAGTAGAATACGGATAAAGTAGAAACTTGGCTAGTTAAAGTAAAAATATGGCTTGTGAGAGTAAACATGTGGCTGGTTAAAGTAGAAATATGGCTGGTTAAAGTAAAAATATGGCTTGTGAGAGTAAACATATGGCTGGTTAGAGTAATAATATGGCTTGTGGGAGTAGAAACTTGGCTAGTTAAAGTAGAAATATGGCTATTTAGAGTAAAATATGGCTTGTGAGAGTCGCTGGAAAGACTGGAAAGACAATCACTGCTAGACAACATCGAATATGGCAAGATTAAATCGGGTTCATGACCAGATGGAGTTGAATCAGGATACGGTTAATGTAAAGCTACACGTGGCCACATCTGTCAGCACTGCGTGTCAACACGTGACTTTCTCCAACAGTTTCTTCATCATGTTGTCCGGTCGTACCTCCGTCTACATCGACACGATCCGATCTGACGACGATGATCCCTATCATCTTAGCCCAGTGAAAGACGAGGACGTCGGCCTAGATGTCACCCTCGGCACACACGGAAAGCGAAGGAAACCTTTAGACCGGACAACATATGGGAAGTTCATAATGCACTTTGGTACGTTACAACAGTTACAGAAGTACTAATAATAGGCATTTGATTACCGGCCCTGTTAAAGAATTTATTTTAGTGTTTACAGTAAGACATCGATAGCGTGGAGTAACTTTAATGGGATTTGGAGTAAATGTCGGGCAACAGAAAGTACACACTTGAAAATTGGGTTTGACCAAAACAGTAGAAACGTTATCAAAACGTTACTTGGCTGAAAACACGACAAACAAAAGGTACAAAACCCCGATGATTTCCGTATCAAATGCATCACCACTGAAATACCATTTCTTGTTTGCATAATATTTTGCTTCCATCAAACATGGGTGTATACTTTCTTTTACCGAGCAGTTTGTATATCTGGAGTAATTCTTCAATTTGATACTAAATTTGGATACCGTTGCGACCCGGGTTAGAATATGTATCAGCACTATACTGCTTGTCTTAAGTGGCGGCTAAATGAGATCGGGTGGAGAGGCTGGAGACTTGGTCGACTGCTTGTCATCGTATCCAAGCAATATCAACAGCTGTTTTGAATTTGTCTGTCCTAGTCACGATTACTAGTATTTACAGGCCGCTGTGATATAGCCGGAATATTTCTGAATACAAAACAGGAAAAGAGAGCAGGTTCCGTAAATAAATTACAGTTATTGTTTTCAATGGTGCAGATGCAGGTAAGAGTTTTGGAGAGATTGCCCTGATTAGCGAGGATGCTGTCCGTAACGCCACCATCATCACCGACTATGAGACTGACCTCCTTGTCATCTCCAGGGACCTCTTCAACAGATCGGTCAAGGTTAGTTGCTACCTGATCCTCTTAAAACGAGGCTAAGATTAACTTGATATCTAACGTATGCATAGCGGTGAAGTTCGATCAAAATCCAAGGCTTTGGTTTTCGTTCAGATAGGTTATATAATGAACAGAATATGCGTCGAAACTTCGTTAAGTCCTTTTAACTCGATGTAGTGTTTAGGCGACATGACTTTCTGGTAGAATCCTATATCGATACTCCGTTTGCCTCAAAGCATAGGGGGCCACGCGTGGCCCAGTCGTCTAAGACGCCGCGATTCGCTGTGCAGAGTTGCCTTCCTTGGGCACGCCAGAAACCTATGATTGTGGGTTCAAATCCCGGTTCGCCCCGAGTATGTTTCTAGGTTTGTCAGCACCATACCCGTGCTCCTGGGTTTCACCGAAGTGGTAAACGTCCGAGACCTGCATCACTTCGGACTTTCCTCCCATATTAAGCTGACACGCCGTGATATAACTGGAATACTGTTAAAAGCGGCGTTAAACCCAACTCACTCACTCACTCACTCACTCAAAACATAGGCGAATCAAGAAGTCCACGAGGTCCGGACCCCACCCCACCCCCTTCTGAAAACTAAGTGTAGTATGCTGTAGGCAGTAAAAGTATCTAGAGAGCCCTTGCAAAGCATGGATAACTCGAATGTCTTAAGTGCTTCGAGTTATCGATAGTTCACTGTATAACTTTACCGCTATAATATTCCCTGAATATGTGCTCGATGTAACTCTACGAAAACCGCTCTGTGAATGATTTTGTCATCAACGAACAATTCACTTCTGTTAGTCACCCGCGGGAGAATTCCGGAGTATAATACATCCATACTAACCCGTACTTGTCCAAAGTAACGTCTACAGTGGGTCGATGTGTGACCTGGCTGATTTGAGTGTCATCGTAACCATGGATCGATGCAAGTGCAGTCACACGGGGGCGTATGACCTAGACTCGAGTATGTTCAGGTCACAGTAGTTTCACTCAAAACACATCCCACCCACCCTACCACCCACCCACTCACTCACTCACTCACTGTTCAACAGGCGAAGCAGGAGGAGGAGTACCGAGAGCGGAGGTCGTTTGTGGACACGTACCCCCTCTTCTCCAACTGGTCGCCCAGACTCAGGAGACTCTGCGAGATGAGTCTCAGGAAGGAGACACACCCCTACGGCTCCGTCATAGCCACTCAGGGACACCCCTCAACGGGGCTGATCTTCATAATGAGGTAAGAGACACACCCCTACCTCTCTGCCACAGCCACTCAGGGACACCCGTCCACGGGGCTGATCTTCATGATGAGGAAAGAGACACACCCCTATTTATCTGCCACAGCCACTCAGGGACACCCCTCCACGGGGCTGATCTTCATGATGAGGTAAGAGACACACCCCTATTTCTCTGCCACAGCCACTCAGGGACACCCCTCCACGGGGCTGATCTTCATGATGAGGTAAGAGACACACCCCTACCTCTCTGCCACAGCCACTCAGGGACACCCCTCCACGGGGCTGATCTTCATGATGAGGTAAGAGACACACGCCTACCTCTCTGCCACAGTCACTCAGGGACACCCCTCAACAGGTAAGGGTCGCATCGGCGTCGTCAGCGATGGTGGCTAGAAGGTCTAGAAGGCTTTCCTGCCGAAAACATATTCATCCTAATTTAGTAACCTACATATCATGTTTCAAGTCCTCTGGGTCACTCTGGCCTGCCAGGATCCTATGAATATGATCCATGGTTTGTCTGCACCAAACTCGTCACAATGTTTGGGTTTCTCCAAAGTGGGAAACGTCAAAGAATTGCATTACATCCCTTCAAATTAAGCTGGCACATCGTGATATACCCCTTGATAAAAAGGCGCTAAACTCAGCTCTCTCACCAATTATATCAAATGTAATACTTCCTTTGTTTTTATAAAGGTTACATCGTGATCCTAGCACTGGTAACGTGATAGTTAAGTTTGCTCAAGATACTTCCAACTTTCACCGACCAAAGTACACATTTGTTCCGCAGCGGTCAAGCCAAACTGGTCATGGAGCCGGCAAAGCACGTCACCCAGTACGCCAAGATCATGAGGCCCCAGAATGCAGCGATATACAAACAGTACAAGACGTGGGTATTACACGGATATATCACATAGGTTTCATATTCGTAGCATCAGTAATACGTACAGTTCAATCTTGTTGTGTGGCGTCATTTTAATGATTTTTGCAGTGTAAATGCAGACGGTTCAGTGAGTAAAGAAAGTGTGACGTCAGACCACATCCGAGTCCGCCGGAAGGAGGGGTACGCGGCTGCCGAGAGACGGGTCATGTCCAGATATGTAAACGTGTGCTGCGTCGAGGAAAACGAGATTGTTGGTAGGTCCGTCTTTCCTGTAATATTAGGTGATTAGTCCTTCAGCTCCATACTCCAGTATACACCAGGAGGCATTTCAATCACTCACTCGTTTCTCTGTCTCTCAGGTGATATAGATATGGGGCGGCCAGGAAGCCTAGTGGTTAAAGCGTTCGCTCGTCACGACGAAGACCCGGGTTCGAATCCCGACATGGGTACAATGTGTGAAGCCCATTTCTGGTGTCCTCCGCCGTGATATTGCTGTAATATTGCTAAAAGCGGCGTAAAACCATACTCACTTACTCATTGATACAGATATTGTTGGTAGGTTGATATTTATTGTAATCATCTCGGGAATTGAGGCCGTTGAGGGAGTGGTCAGTGCAAATGCGTACAATTCGTAGACAATGCACAACACCCTGATGTGTTAACTCAATCGCATGTCCTCAACGTCATATGACTACTATGTCGTAAAAGGCGTAAAAGGCGACTGACGGGTGGTCAGGCTCACCCAATTGCTCATTGCGATGCTCATGATGTCAGTCACTGGATTGTCTGGTCCAGACTCGATTATTAACAGACCGCCGTCATATAGCTGGGATATATTGCTGAGTGCGGCGTTAAACAACAAACAAATCATATGAGTACAAGATTCAACACCATGTCCATGAACGTGGGTTTCACCAAAAAACAAAAACGTGACATACTCACTCAATAATAAATCTCCAACAAATCTGGAAACACCTAAAAACCATTACGATATACCGTGTACTATTTGAAGTGATATTGTGAAAGTGTCACTCGCTTTCATTTCCCTCCCAGGTGATATAGAGATGAGCCTTGAGCTGGACACAAACATTGGGACTCTCATCTCCACAGAGAACACCGATGTCTTCATACTGAACAGCAAGAACTATGAGCGTCTGGTACAGAAGAAGAACCCACACACTGCGGAGATGTTAAAGGTGGAGGCGTACCGGAAAGTGTGCGGCCGACTGTGTACCACTACGGGGGCACAAATACCGCTCCTCAAGAAGCTTCAGGGTGTCCTCAAGGACATGCTGCCACATCCTGAACTCTACCTCAGAAGAGGTGAACATTACCACAGGAGCAAGGAGTTGATACACCTCATAGACATGTTCCTGCAGGATAGGAGTCCGCTTATCCAACCACTTTTACCTGATGCTTTATACTACAAGCAACGCTCGGCTGAGAAGGCCAAAAAGATTGTCGCAAATGCTTCGCGATTTCAGAGATTCAATGATCCACGCGAGAAACGGACTAAGATGCCAAGAAGTTTGGATAAGTTGAGGAACAACATCGAAGCTGAGAATGAACTGTTAGGTTACAGACCTTTATCAACAGCAAGCGTTGCTGTGGGTGATGGAGGGGTTTTGAGACCTCTGTCGTCTGCTCTTACTCCGTCTGGAGGAAAGGGTTCACCGTCTGTCAGACCGCCAACAGCTGCGGGTTCTGTGACGGTAACAAGATGTGACTTCGAGTATGAATTTGGGCAGGGGTCGAGAAAGGAAGAGGCTCCAAACCGTGATCTGGTTGTCGGGATTTATGAAGAGATGGAACAGTTTCAGAAGGACAAGAAGGAGGAGAGGTCCAGGGTCATCTGTTCGGGAGTGAGGAAGAAGAAGGAGAACAAGAGGCCTGAGGTGGAGTGTGATGACGAGGAATACTTTGACTGGGAAACGAGTGACTCTAACCTGTGTGTCCTCGAGAACAGGATCAAGACATTCTGTGATCAGGGAACACAATCACTGTCAAGAGATAGGAACCGTGTTGCAGAATTAAGGAGATTTGAAATTGAGGTAATATAAACCGAACTTATATGGTGACACATCCCCGTGTTTAGATTTTGCCAATCTGAGAAGAATTTATTATTCATATACCAAAAATGGACCAACAAGGAGGGGAGCATAACTGGTTTCCATGGGGATACCTACTTCTTGCCAAAAAAATGTCCTGAGTGTTTAAATATCTATGATGCATTTCACATAATGTTTTCTCAGTAAACAATCATAATTGGTTGAATTATGTTACAAGTTAGTTAAATTATGTGTCATGATACACATTTGTGTTTTGGGAAACGGGCAACAAGAAGCGAGCGATAATACCTAATTACATCAATTAAGTAAAATATTATTTATGATCTTGTAAGCGAGTGAGTAAATGTTCTTTAACGCCACAGACAGCATGTATAACGTCGGCATGTTACAAGTCGGGTATGGGTCAGGAAAACAAGTGACTGAACGTATGAGAACGCGGCACACGGACACGTCTGACCAACCAATCCCCGTTAGTAAGCTCCTACAATCTTGAAATACTGGGATCCGGTAGCCCACGAGTGAGTGAGTGAGTGAGTGCAAATTTAACGTCACATCAGGTAACCCACGGGAGTCCGAATGTTAAGATAATATTATTCAAAGTTAACCTCGTGAAATAATTTGAAGCTGTAACATGAGGTCTATACTCACTAAAACCGATTAGAGTCTTGAGTTTATGTTGTTAAATGTTAATTTATTTAAATCTATCATTGCAGCGTCCCCAATACGTGCCTATCCCTGGAGGGTCAGTGTTTGTCCACAGACGGCCGTGTCAGTACCCTGTCAACACGCCCGTCAACCCCGCGCTACACCAGCATGTCAGGCGTTTCATGTTGTCCCGACGGAGGCATCACATAGGCACAGACACCGTGTGTTTCAGTGACTCCAGGCCTCTCTCTAGCAGACTGCGTGCTGGGTTTTGACATTGAGTGTCATGTCAAAACACATGTGTGACTGCTAACCCTGCGAAAGAAAGTATGCCAAACCATACCTGCAGCTTGACGAAAAGACAAGAAGATATTCCAAATGTAGCGTTGTACTCACGAATTAAGCAAATCGACGGCAATGTTACAGTTATAACGCAGCGAAAATACAGGTTCACGAGGACAAAAAGGTCATGTCACTTTGCGGCCACTGTAAATAGGGTTGGGATTAGTCACACTGAATGGATGGAATTGAAATGATCAGTCAACCTCAATGTCCAATATTCGGTTTGTCCATAAGTCACGTCTGTTTGCAGACGGGTTTGGTCATGCCTGACTATCAAGGTGGCCCCAGAGTTGTTCAATTGGCGACATGTCAGGAGATGAAACTGATCAGTGCAAAAGGTTGACGTTATTGACCAGAGGAGAAGCGGAAGATACGTGGGCTGAGCACAGCACACCTGGCGCAATGCTTCGTCGATGTAAGGTTGTGTTGTGAGAATGTCCGTCTTTTCCTGACCACAAATCACTATCCAAATCATTACGCTACCTCCTGGACTCATCGAGCCGTGAATTCTTCCCGAGGACGATACACGTGTACTCTACTATCTGCTCTGAAGAGCTGGGACCTACTCTGCGTCAGAAAACGTGACACTCTGCCAGTTCCTGTCTGCCGTTGTACGGTGTGCAACGTGATCCAGAAAGGTGTCCGAATAGCACGCTGACGCCATCTTCCCGAGGCAAGAGAGTTAACTGACTATAAAAGTCCAGTTTCTACCCTTGTCGAGCTAGGCTGGTATTATTGGAGTTACAATTTGGCTGGACTAACGAGTCTATGCATAGTCCAATCAAAATCGCGCAACGAAATCGAAATCCGGTTCATAAACTTTCGTGCAGATTTCGGTCGATTGCAGGATTTGCAAAGCATGTGTACCGCCAACTAGTTGTCAACAGATATTTTCTAAATCTTTTCATGTTTTTGATCAAGGTGCTCACGTGAGTCGATGCACTTCGCGATGTAAGACCCGTTTTATCACAATAGAGATCTTGATTATCGATCAGAGCGTATTGACTGGGCGCCGCCATTTTGTTTGCAAGTGATACGAGAGGTGGAATCTGATTGGTCCATAGGAGAGGCTTAGAAGTGACATAACTGGTAATAGCAACTGGTGGCGCTACGATTGAGTCCAGGAATTCAAGCCTAGTTCGACAAGGGTGGAAACTGGACTTTTAACGTCAGTTAACCCTCTTGCTTAGGGAAGATGGCTGACGCAGTCGTCTGGATAGAGTGAAACGTCTGACCCGTCCTGAGGCAGTTGATGCTGATGCCGTCAGTCAAAAATAACGATCTTCGCTGGATTCGGCGACACGTGGTCCATCTGTTCTGGGTCTGTCTACTGCCTGCCCTCATTGCCACCATCATGCTTGCAACGAGTGCAACAAAGGTGTCCACGACAGTGTCATGTCTGGTTCCCTACTGCAGCATATCAATGGTCCGATCTCTCTCTGTCCTGTCGATAAACGTGTCATGTTACTGTCAAGTACTTCTTGTGCATTCACGAATATTGAATATATGGTGTTATACCCATATGCACCCAGTGATCACAGTGCATGGGCACTTTCATGTTTAACGAATAAAGTCACGTAACACCGAACTCAGTGAACTGAAGCAAGCTTCGGTTGCACCCGTGTCTGTTGCATTTCTCAGATTGGTTTACCGTGATTTGGAAATATAATTTCGTGTTTGCATTCAAATTCTAATAAATTTTTATCTTAGTACAATTTCTTTTGCTCGTCAGTGCACGTTAGAGTACAGAGTATAGAGTCATGTTTCATGTTATCCCTGGCACATTTAGTCTCCCTTGTGTGGTCTGGCCACTAGGGCATAAACCCTTCAATTTGACATTATAGAACTGAAATGTTATTGAGAGACTGGGATATTTGTAAAACAAAGTCAGTTCCTTAGTGTTTTTCAAAAACAATTTTTAAAATGGTCCAACAGAAAGGTGGTCACTCAACTAGTTTTGCCTTTCTGGAGTTGAAATCTGCACGATACATACATGGAACACATATACTAACAGGAAAAAGTAACTCCGCTTCATATAGGATTCAATAAAATAAATCTATTCTGAAATGCAACTTCCAATAAATATTCATGAAGACATCTCGACTTTAAGGTAATTCACAATTTACACATGCATGTTAATGCACAGCGCATAATTTGAATGTGTTTGTTGGGAGCATGAAACTCGCATGCAAGTATTTTTATGTGATTTTGTTGTTGCTGTTTAACACCGCACTCAGCAATATTCCAGCTACATGACGTCGGTCTGTAAATAATCGAGTCTGTACCAGACAATCCAGTGATTGTCATCATGAGCATCGATCCACGCAGTTGGGATAAGATGACAAGCATCAACCTTGTCTTGACCACCCGATCCCGTCAGTCGCCTCTTACCACAAGCTGTTTAATGTGAACAGTACCCAATGATTATTTGCTCATAAAACACTTTTGTTTAACCGAAAATAACCCTTACGTAATGCCATGGCTTAGCTAAAATCAACGTGGGCCGTGGGTATGCCGCAAACAGCAATGGCGCAAAACGATGTTGCCAGATAGACACTTTGATGTTCATCGAAACACAATATCATCTTTTTGGAGACAACACTCATGACTTGCCACGGGTGGATCGTCTGTCCACGTGTGACGACATGTCAACAAGTCAACCATATTCCGTTGGTGCATCTACGGAATCCATACCAAACTGCCACATAAACAGCTCAGACAATTTGTTGGTTGAGACCAATCAGTTGCAGAACTGCATGCAACCGTTTGGGGGAGCACAACAGCTGGCCCCAGCGTCCAGCCAGCGGTATTGGTGACATGCATCGCCAAGTCAACAAGCCTGACCACCCCATCCCTTTAGTCGCCTCTTACGACAAGCATAGTCGCCTTTTACAGCAAGCATGGGTTGCTGAAGTCCTAGTCTACCCCGGATCTTCACGGGTCAGTGCATCTCAAGAGCTCATTTTAGAAACAGGGTGAATCTGTCTTGAAGCCATGTTCATCAATTTCTGGCAACTATGCATAGGTGTGTACCTCACTTCTTTAGGGAAACTCACAACACAAACACAATCAGCGGATCCTGGCACGTCTTAGGGAAGCAAACTCCTACTCCATTTCAACCTGATATATTTAATCATCACATCATATATCACACAATCTTGATTAAATAGTGTTCTTTGAATTCCACAATTCATACAAATTCCCATAAAATACACACAATAACTGACAACCATGTCCAGGCTGTACACAATGCAGTGGCAATATGTTTAAGTCTGTTCTTGAAATCAAAGAACTACCATTGTGTTCAAGATGTGAGGCAAGGTGAAATGGGGATTAACATTGAATCCAAGATTATCACACTTATACTGCGTCCAGCAGTGTAAGTACCATCCTTTTATGTCTTTTGGTATGACGCAGCTGGGAATCGAACCCCAGACCTTCCACTCTCCGGGCGGACACTACCACTAGACCACAGAGGCAGTCTTGTGTTCAAGAGTTCATTTAGTTAACTGGGATTCCACTCCACCAAGTGGTGGCAGCTATGTTGTACTAGGCAAATATTAACACATCAAAACCCTCATTTAACAATCAACACTGTTTCAAAACTAACCTATTGGGAAGAATAACATTTTCATTGTATACAAATATTCTACATCTAGTTGTATTCATTGCATCTCTTATGATACACTAGCTTCACATGAAAAATATATTCAGAAAAACTAAACCACCTAACTCATTTTTGAAACGATTTCATACCAATCTTTTTAGTTGATCTATAAGAGAACTTAACCCAACCAAGTTTCAGTTAACCTCATCACATACTTACACACATTCAGGAGCATCAGAATAATGTGGGAGGAAAACTCAACATGACAGATCCTGGACATTTATCACATAGTTGAATACAACAGGCATGGATATGATCAGCACATCCTGGTACAACTATGGAACACAACTCCGCACAACAAATTGTGTTACCCCCACATCCAGGGCCACGTCATGAAACATATTTCATGACCCACCTATCTGCTAAACATCAAAGAAAGATAGGACTTGGCTGCATACCACGAGTCGTATATCACGTCACATAAATGTACTGTGTTGCAGAACCAAATTTAATCAGACTATATTTCAGTACCCATTACACTGGATCTTCACAATCATTACAACTACATTAAGGATAACACAGCAGAGTTAGTTAGGCAATCTAAACAGAGCTTTATCTCGATAGCACTCAATTTAGGCTAAAAGTGAAAAAAGCCTTTTAGGGGGTTTCAAGAAGGGCTTTGTTTGATATCATAACACAAAGTCATTGATCTAAGCTGATATTCTGTTGCAGTTAAAACAGTACAAACAAATTAGTATAAATATCATATTGGGTCACAGATGCAGCCCTTTTCACTCGTAGTTTGCAGAATTTCTGTATTTAATCATGCAATAAGTTCAAAAAGTTATGTAAGAAAGAAGAAAGACAAATTGTTAGTCATATGAAAATATTATTAAAAGTACTTTTCAAACTGTAATTTGCCATTTCTATAGGTCCCAAACAAGCCCTATCCCACCTCGCCCTTGTTACTGGAGCTGAATAAACCAAGTAGGGAAGGTCTTCATCCAACCATGTACACCTAACAAGAGTCCTCAACCCTGGTGCCTCGGGCTGTAACAGGACACTTGTTGTGATACACTTCGGATCTCGACTATGGTCACAATACACCACATGAAGGTTCAACATCTGCCAAGCTCCGGGGAAATGTTCCAGCATTAGCAGGGATGACTAGGGACCCAGGCAAAGCATATTTACTAAACTTGTCCCTGTAAATATAACAATAGTTTGATAAATCTGATAAAGTAGTATTTAAATTTCATTTCATAAAAATAGTAATGTCTTCCCTTGTCTTATATCCACATGTTTTGTATCAATACATGAGCTCACTAGATGATTCTCACAATGCATCAAATACTTGGTGAATGGTCACAGCAATAGTGGTGCTAGTCGCCATCATGTATGTATTGACAAATGCTGAGGACAGTGTTTGCAGTAGCAACAGCCATCTTGAGAGCATTCCTCATGACTACCAGAGGATCAACTACTCTTGGAAACGCATCTTCCTCAGGGACCTTGGCCATCTTGTGCCAATCAATCTGCTGTTTCTTCCATAGACCACGTCCAGAAACATACTCGAACTTGCCAACACTCGCCATGTCCAGCAATCCACAGTTACAGGAACTAGTCTTAGAATGTATGTTACTTGCATCGATGTTGGGAGACTTCCAGATATGGCAATATTCAGCATCAGTCAAGTTGGAAACTGTGCCAGAGGTCGTAATACTGAGGTCGGAGGTCAGCCTCAAGGCCACAGACAGAAGACACTGGGTGAAGGTCTCCAGGCTGGCATTCAGCTGTGACTCGGTACACTCAAACTCATTTAGAAGCTTTGATTTGTCTTCTTGGACCTGTAAGGAAGAAAGATTATTCATTTGGCCTTGAAAGTAATCAATTTGTTGGTGACAATTTTTGAAAAAATGCTTAGGGTCAATATTCAGCATAAACAGGATACTGACAAAAGTGAAATGTTAAAAACATGTTTGTCTTTGACATATCTAAAAGATAACATCAAAATCATAAAAATACAGAAAACATAATTGAAAATTGAATAACAACAGCACTTTTTTTTTTAGGATTCTAAACTGTTAAGTAATCTGATTCCCTTGCTTCTTTTCTTTGTTGCTTAATGCCGCATTCAGCAATATTCCAGGAACATAACAGTGGCTCGTAAATAATCCCCCGATTGATATTGTGAGATTAATTTACGCCGTCGGGGTAAGACCACAAATTCAAAGAAGCCACCAATCCTGACCAGAAGATCTCTTTGGTAGCACAATATTACCTGGGAATGTTGTTGTCTTTACTTAGTCATTGTGACATAATGTGTGGCTTACCTTCGCCGTGAGATAAGCAGTGACATGGGAGAGCCAGCACCCTCCCCCAGACAGGACGTGGGGAGCTCCCAGCATCAGCTGCAGGGTGTGGACTGACGTCTGGCCCAGGACCTGGGGAGGAGAGACAGACTTCAAAGGGCTTCTTTGTTAACCAGCCATTATTGTGTATCAAGGGTTGTGCCCAGAACGTCTAACTAATTCATTTGTCAAAAGCTTGTGCCATTGTAGAGTGTGGAGAATCTCTGTAGTGAAACAATATGTGTTAGTGGGGATGGGCAGCTGTTTGTTTGTTTGTTGTTTTGCACTCAGCAATATTCCAGCTATATAGTACAGCTAGTCAGTGTTATCATGGTTATGTGTAGTAATTGTCAGTGGCAGCAAATGATTGAAGTACCAGTACAAAATATCAAGTGTTGTCGTGGCCAGACTAAAACAGTCAAAAATAGCGAGTGGAGATTTCCAGAATGATTTTGTACTGGAAGTCAAGTTATATGATCAATATTCTTATAGCAAGCAATTTGAAGGCATCTTCCCTGCTATCAGGCTAATACGCCTTGTATTTGTTGATCAGTAAGGTGTTAAATAAGCAGTAAGGGGTGTTTAGTGTTGGGGTCTGAAGCTCATCTTGGGTGAAATAACCCTACATACCTTCACTTCCTGTAGCATCTCATCAACGGAACTCTTCAGTATCAGAGTCACGATTGGTGAGTTCTCCTGAGTCAGGTGAAGATAACTCTTGTCACACCAGATCTGGTGGGTGACACCATCTAGCCAGCCAAACCCACTCCAGCCTTCCTCCGTGCTGACAGTCAAAACTGACAGGGGAGAAGCACCTAGGACAACCAACAGTTGCTACGCATATCAGTTGGATTTCTTTTGTGGCATCACATAATTTTATCCAAAATAGACAATTGATAACTTTAAACAAATTGAAATGTGGAGAGTGTGAGAGTAAGTTGGGTTTAAAGCCACTTTGAACAGCATTCCAGTTACATCACGGCGTTTTAATTATGGAAAGAGACAAGCTGCGTCAATATTAGCATGATTAGGGCTGTTACGATTCACTCGTGTATTCAGTGAATCGAACCGTATTCATTCATGAATTTAATTCGTTATTCGTAGCCACTAGAATCCAATATTTATGAATATGCAATCATGTGCATTTACCATGTTTACATACCCTGTACCTAAAAATATCCATAAAAGTTTATTAAAACATATTAAATGCATACATTTCTTCAAAAACAACACTCTTATAATATTTAATTTGACAGTATTGTGGTCACTGGTCATTGTCACATTTGAGCAGATACTAGTACCTGGATAAGTGCAGTATATTAATGTTTAATATATTAATAATTAACAAACCATGTCAAATAATTTATGTTATTGTTTCACTGAATATAACAAATAATACATCAACTGCTGACTTGTAATTGTATTCATGAATTAATATTCGTATTCGTTACCCTATATTCATGATACAAATCGTATTCGCCTCATAGTGTATTCGTTGCAGCCCTAGTCAATATCATCACAGTTAACATGACTTTTAAAGCAGCACAAGGTCTCAGTCTGTTATCTGTCAGCAGTGGCTACCATTACTGAGACACTATTGGTTTGGGTGTCTAGTAATCTAGTTATCACTTTATCAGCTTGATGAGGTTTTGTTTCTTTGTTGCTCTGCATTATTCCAGCTATATGATGGCGGTCTGTAAATAATTGAGTCTGGAACAGACAATCCAGTGACAGGGATATGGAATATGATGACATGCATCAACCAAGTCAGCAAGCCTGACCACACGATCCTGTTAGTCGACTCTTATGACAAGCATAGTCGCCTTTTACAGGAAACATGGGTTGCTGAAGACCTATTCTGACCCGAAACTTGGCGGGTTGCTGGAAGAGGTGACCCGTGTGTTCTGTACACTTAAAGCACCAGCTCACACTGTGGAACTGGCTCAAATCTGCCATGCATGGATGTGCTGTTAGTATTACTATGATTATATACTTTTCCATAAATCCAGTCCATCCACTCAAGATTTATTTCAGTGAAGCCCATGGTCTTAAAAATGTTATCTTTCCTTTGAAACCTATGGGCTTAGAAGAGTAGAGACTAAATACATGCATTCCTTGTACCCACCTGTGAGGTCTCGAAGGTACGGGATAGTTGAAGATCCTAGCCTGTCCACAAACAACAGTCCAGCCTGTCGGAGAAACACCTTGACCTTTGGATGGATCACTCTCTGGCACAGAAGCAGTCTGACACCGCAACGCAGGAGCTGCTGGCACAACGACAACATCCTCTCCACCACTACATCACCGACATCAACACCATGCTCTGTCTCATACATCGCATCTACAAGCCCTTCTGTATCCCCTGACATAGATTCTAGCACTACTGCCACTTTAATCTTAAGAAATCCTTTTTGATTGGGTACAGATGTTACATGAAGGGTTTTCTCATTCACAGACGATAATTCGGGACATTCAATCAACAATCCTTTCAAACATCTGGATTCCAAGATGTCAGAGTTTGGGAAACATTGTATGTGCACTCGATCCGAAAAGAAGTCCTGTCTTTCTGATGGTATTGTAGACAGGAACACATCCAGGAACACAGCAAACAGTTTGTCTTGCACTTCAATTCTCATATACGAAAGTTTTGGCCCACACAAACTTCTCAGTAGAGTCATCACTTGCTGAAGATTAAACACGTCTATCTCAAACTTGCACGCACACTTACTTGAACCCAAGTAGGTATCTATAACATTCACAAACCTTTCATAAAACTGGATCAAAAGTTTCCTGTGTACATTTGTCTTTAGAGAACCATCCAACAGAGAAAGACACAAATTAGCTGTGAACAGTCCGCCATCTTTAAATCTCTGTACATGGCCTTGAACAGCACTGGTAATGAGCTTCAAAACTGGTGTTGAAATTGACATGACTGACAGCAAACGAAAGGATAATTTTGTCCATGTGACATGACCTCCAAGTGAGTTCTGAATGACCTTGGCCTTGCCATGAGGTCCCTGGCATGAGGCCAGGAGGTCCCGGAAGACCTGAATCCTGGTCCTAATGGCTGGGTCCTCAAGGCAGTCCACTTCAAGGTGAGTCTCAGTGGAGGGCCTTTCACGTCTGCTTGCAGGTTGGGCCATCCTGGGAACAAACACTCATACATAATTCTGGGACTTTCATATTTCCCTAAATTCAGGTCTTTAAGATGTTATATTAACATTACATTCAATCAATAATGTAAAAATAAACATGAACAGCTCTTCTTTACTGGTCATGTTATCAGTGAAATACAAGTCTCTTCTTGGACCTTCAGTAAATACCTTCAATATTGTCGGAGTTCATTTTGTGGGCTCCTGAGGTGTATGTTTCCAGGACGCCCTCTCCGCAGAGGTGGAGGCCTTGGCTTCCCAGATGGGGTACGTCCCCAGGTAGATGATGAAGGACAAACCAATCAGAGACACGAACTTGTTGCGTTGAGTCCACATGGACGCATTGGCCAGCATCCCTCTCCAAGCTACTTTTTCAGAATTCATTTTGCCTGTATTCTGCAATGTCATAAGAAAGACAATGCTTCAGTCTGTGCATAAAACTTTTGGGTCTACTAGCTCAAACTTGGCATTAAGCATCAATAATAGTGATATATTCTAAGATTCTTTGCTAAAAGAACCTTATCCTGCATCATAAACCTCTTGTGATGTCATCCTATTGTTCCCCAGTCAGAATGTTATATCCCGAGGTTTTTAGAAATACAACTTACATTAAAACTGTAACATAAGAATGTATAGAAATCTATTTCGCATTTGAACACAATGTAATGAAATGTAAAATCAAATGACAGTTGTTTTATTTATATTCCCGTGGATCGAACATGCAACTTTCGTAGCCCAGTGAGTGTACCACTAGCCTACAGAGGCGCTTTTAAGAATGTTTTCTTTAAGTACCGTACACCAGCAACAGACATTTTACACCCGTTTCCTAAGGTTCATGGAAAGTATTAGGCCTGGACGAGTCCAAATTTACTACCCGGGTACCCACCCCGCTATTACCCGACCCTACCCGGGCACCCACTGTAGGTCTCAGGAGTTGGGTACATAATGTCCGATTGGAAATGGTTTGAGCGTAGCCCTGGTAAAATGTATTTAAATATATTTATAAAACGATCTGGTCATGCATACACTAAAGTAGACTGAAGTGTTATTTTTATTCAAACCCATGAAGGTCAGAAACAATGGTGCTTAGTCAGAAAGAAATGCAAACATTTGTGACTTGTACTGTAACCATAGAGTTCTAGATATTTCTAATCACTAAACAATATATCACATGACTCACCATGGATCCGGGTAGTCCTGTGGGTACCCGGGTCCTACTCAGGACCCACCTGACCCGAGTGCCCGAGTTACTCGTCCCAGCCTTAGAAAGTATGTTTGAAACATAAAAATGTTGATAAATGTTGTTTTAAATTTCTTTTTTCGGTTTATAACGCGCATCAGATTTATCCCTTTGATTTGGATTTTAAATCTCATAAAAACCCTCGGACGTGCTCTGTCCTACACATAAAGTTTACTTTTTTAGTTACGGCTTAATGGCATGACATCTTCCCGTTCAAACTACCTCCTCTCATGATCAAATATATCCTCGGTAACATTGTCATCCTAAACAAATCAGCTCAGTGATTTAGCCACACCTGCTCAGGAACAATATTGGGCCAAAGTCTACAGATATTGTCAGCGAGAATTCCCAAATTGAAACAAAATATTTTCCAATTAATGTAATCATATTAGTAACTAATATGTTATGTTGTTGAAACCTTAAAAAAATTACACTTTTGAATAAAAAAGACAAAAATCCCAATATGCCTGTAAAGGGCACTAATTAAGTTTGAATCCTACCATGCCTACATAAATGCTATTAGTTGAGCTCACAAAACCAAATAGAATTTCACTAGACTCAGGCTTCAGACAAGTGGATTTAGTAGCACACTGAAATATTATGGTATAATGGGATAACACTTCTAAAGTAAAGTACAAATTCTTATACTTTTTTGGGTTGAGTCCCATTCGCGATTCGAACCCACACTCTTAGAGTGAGGCACCAAATCGCCGGCAACATTTCATCCTACCGGGTACAGAGGTGAAAGTCCTGCCTCAGGAGACACCACATATAACAGGTGCTTCGGTGTCTCAGGAGACACCACATATAACAGGTGCTTCGGTGTCTCAGGAGACACCACATATAACAGGTGCTTCGGTGTCTCAGGAGACACCACATATAACAGGTGCTTCGGTGTCTCAGGAGACACCACATATAACAGGTGCTTCGGTGTCTCAGGAGACACCACATATAACAGGTGCTTCGGTGTCTCAGGAGACACCACATATAACAGGTGCTTCGGTGTGGTTGCTGGAGTGCGGACCTAGAACATCTCAGGAGTCAAACTGTCAGACACGGTCACCCATCCATGTACTCCATGTTGCTAAATTTCGGCCTACTTGTGGCAATCATGCAAGGTTGATTAGAAGAACTGGACAAACAGTGGTAAAAATGAAATGAAAATTTATTGACATTCTTACCTTTTCAACAATATAATTCAGTCGTGGCGGTGTTCCCTGGAGAACTGAATCTTCCTACAGATGATAAATCTACAGATTTGGTCCACTGTCACAGTTTCATATTCAAGTTCACAATAAGCACTGTAATCATGATTTCAACAAACTACTTCTTGGTTGCCGCTTCTGCTCTTGTGAGGTCAAGTCCCATGACTTTTATTTCCTTGTTTTCTTTTGGAACATACATGTCGGAGAACTGTAACGCATACCAACCCAGATGAGCTCCGACAACAACAGGCACCATCACAACCAGAACACGGTTACGACGCAAGAAGGCGGTGAAGGCGTTCATGATCACCCAAGCTGAAATAACACGATAGAACAGAGTTTACATACGTTACAAATTCCTGTACTTGGATCAGACTTATTCCGTCATTCCTGTACAGCTGGAGGTAGTTTTTTTCAATGCAAACATATCAAATGGAAGAGTAACGCAACAGGTAACAATTTTGTTACGAATTTCTGAAAATACACAGTATCTGGTCCTGAGTATACTTCATATATCAGTCAATTGTCAAAAGCACTATCAGCTGTGTCATGTTTTCAGAAATTATATGTAAAGTATGAAATTTAAAAAATTTTCACAATGTAGGAGATAAATATGTTTTTACTGTAGAGCTAGGTTACATGGTTACATGTAGATTTAACCACAGACAATTGAATTTGGGACCAAACGTGGAGCTTGGGGTTTCATATGTTAAATTTTGTGCTTTCGATGATCTATTAGTTCACTGCCTGTGCTCACACATTGTGTATTGACACCGTCATTCTTTACTCATATATGACAGGCACTGAAAGCGAGTAATATAGCTACTACGTAAACAAATATGAAGTGGGCATCTGTAAGATAATTAAGCAAGCCTTGCAAAGTCACTATTACTATCATGACGTCATACTGCTCATTGTGATGCAAAAGATATAACTTAACAGTCAAATATAGAAAGGCACAAAATTTCAAGCTCTCTTTCGCCTGTTTAATAACCTACTAGTGTACATATCATTATTTCAAACTGCCTACCAACAATGATTGGGAAAGAAGTCAGGATCAAGCAAAGCAATAACTGACAACATGGGCACCAACACATTTTATTTGTTTGTTGTTTAATACCGCACTCAGCAATATTCTAGCAATATGACGGCGGTCTATAAATAATCAAGTCTGGACAAGACAATCCAGTGATTGACATCATGAGCATCGATCCACGCAATTGGGATACGGGTCCGCAGGATGTAGTAGTCATGTCAAATGTTTTGGCTACAGGAAACGGTCATGGAATTTCCACTCAAGCCAATTTCACTCACTACAATTCGTCAGTGATGATCCAAAGCCAACTCATCCCCTTGGGGTCAGCTATGCCTATGCCAGCTATGCCTATGCCAGCTATGCCTATGTCAGCTATGCCTATGTCAGCTATGCCTATGCCAGCTATGCCTATGTCAGCTATGCCTATGCCAGCTATGCCTATGCCAGCTATGCCTATGTCAGCTATGCCTATGCCTTACTAGTTCCTTACAATGATCAACATTATCCTTTCACTCATGAGTATCTGTTCTGTTCACAGTGTGGATGTAGCTCAGTCAGTTAGGTGTCAGACAAACAATCAGCAGGTAGCAGGACAGCATTTGATGAATTCTCACAAAAACTGGTTGCTTGTCTTTGAGAAGTGTGACCTACGGCAGAAATCGTCCTCATGAGAAGTTGTGTCACTGTATTCTAAAGGTTCTCCCATATTTGATGTTCCTGGCCATGATATAATTATTGCTAGAACATTGTTAAAAGCGGTGTAAAACGTTATTCACTCTCACTAAACAAGTTGCCTATTCTTCCACTTCACTATGTAATACAATTGTCCTGCAATGTGTAGGTGCACGCCAGTTGCATCATCATCATAAAGCTAAAACGTTTCATCTTGACACCTGATTCTAACATTTCTATTATATAACTTACCACAACTAAAGAAATCGATGCTATGTGGCAACAAAATATATTTAACTCGGGAACACCATTTCCATGTATTATACAAGTTAAGGCATGGAGTTTGCCCTTCCAATGCGTATCCTCTTGGTAAAAATCCGGACAAAAACGATTCCGCCGGTGCAACGCATAAATGTTCCTTATGACATTTGTTCCATTAGCCTCCAACAGCAATGTTGGCAATGCGAAAGGTGCTAGACGATACTCATGCGGTAGTTATGTTGTGACTTATTCAGTTGATGCCTGGACACCTGGACACATTCTTACATAATGGACACGTGATTTCTTTAGCGCAGACGTTCATAATGGGGTTCGCAGTTGTAATTTGACATATTTACCTATGGTGTAAACCTAAGTTCCTTAGAAGCAGTAAGGTGTGGAATTGCATGTTATTAAAAACACATTTGTGATGTCATTCTGTTGTTTGAATGCTCCATTAATTGTCAGGAATTGAGAGTTGTTTGTCAACTATACATTATGTTGAACCAACATTTGAATTTATTTCCACTTGGAATAGACAGAACGTTTTTTATTGACAAGTGAATAATTTCATTTTTTTCCCTAAAACATGTGTCGACTGCTGTGTTCGAACTCGCATCGTTTGATTTGAGAACGTGTAATTGTCAACCTCAGCTTCGGCGGCACATGAAGGAATGGTGTAAAATTAACTATTAAATGTTTTCATAATTTTGCATCATGCTTAATACGTATATATTTTGCGTTGGAGCAGGTTACCTACAACACAATCAGGTAATATATATATCCATGTTCGGGGCTCTTTATTTTCTATAATTCCCGTCAGCATGTATTAACAATGTGCAAGCGATTGATAGATACCAGTTTGGAACCCAACGATATTGTGAAAAGCCGTGTACCATGCATTGTAAATGTCAGCTCGCGACTGAACTTGGCGCAAGTGCAACAGCGGCAGAGAACGCATTCCTCGTGCATCACGAAAGGGCGACTCACACAGTGTAAATACAGTCCATAAAGAGTTCTGGTTTATTTTTAAAATAATTGCCACAACAGAATATTTTGTCAAAGTGTAAATGTAGGGATGAGTTTTAAGTTGGGGAATATCCTCGTAACTCTCCATTCCTTAAAAATAATGGTCCTCGGCCCCTGCGGGTCCTCTGCTCCATCATTTTTAGGGAATGGAGAGTTGCGAGGATTTTCCCCTCTACATAAGCCCCTGTTGAATGGAGCTTTAAGCCTTGTGCGTGCGGGTAATATATAACCTTTCAACTTTTATGCTATTGTCTATGTAGTTTATGCCTGTTTCAACTTACTTTATGCTCTCTAAACTTACTTTATACATTTCTTTCGGTCGGAATATATGTCTAACCACGGGGACATTCCGCCATATCACATTCATATCCCGTTGTCTCGAAATACTGGGGACGACCGAAATAGTTATTTTAAAGTCTTGGGACGCTAAATTGAGTTCGAGACAACTGCAAAAAAATACACATCGGTTTGAAGCAATGGTAAACACATGCATAGTGATACTTTGCCGGGACGCGACTGTGTGTTGGACTAAACGGGGGTTTCGACACATCCGAGTTCGAGACAATGGGGCTCGTCTGTATTTTGAAGTGAGTGAGTGAGGTTTAACGCCGCTTTTAACAATATTCCAGTTATATCGCGGCGTGTCAGCTTAATGTGGGAGGAAAGCCGGAAGTGATGCAGGTTTAAGACGTTTACCACTTCGGTGAAACCCACGAGCACGGGTATGGTGCTGACAAACCTAGAAACATAATCGGGGCGAACCGGGATTCGAACCCACAATCATAGGTTTCTGGCGTGGCCAAGGGATGCAACTCTGCACAGCGAATCGCGGCACCTTAGACGACTGGGCCACCCGTGCCCCCCTGTATTTTGTAATCACAGCTTACAGTAGATAGGATCCGTTCCAAACGCTGCATGTACTGTGTGCCATGGTGTCAGGTTCAAATTGTTGATAAATCTATATAAGTTTTGTCACTCTTTAATGAAATACAAGATTGTTTCAGATCTGTCTGAATGACTGCACAATGGGCATGTGCCGACACTTATATTTTCTAAAAAAATATATCTTCATATTTTTTTTAAATGTATGTTTTGTGGCTGGATGTCACTATACTACTGAAGCATTCCTGTTACCCATCTGCTGACTTTGTGTGCTGGCGAATAGGTGCCTCACTCTGGGACTGAGGGTTTGAATCCCAGGTGGGACTCAACCCCGCAAAGTACTATAATTTGTACTTTACTAAGAAAGTGTAATCCCAAATATGACATTTGTGACATCTTTCTAAAAGGTATTGTGTGTTCAGAGCTTTCGACCTTGGGAGCCGTGCCAATTTACACTTGTCAGAGGGGTACTCAAAGTACATGATCTAGACTACCAGTTGTCGGACTTTCATTTCTGTGGAAGCCCCTGTGGCTGAGTGTTAGACTTTGTGTGCTGGCGATAAGGTGACTCACTTTGTACTAGAAACGTACTAGAAGTTGTACTTTGTTGTGTTACTTATATATTTACGGTATTCAAGTTGGTGCCTACACTTGTGTTACTCTTAGCCACGCCCTAGGAAAGCAAAACATGTACACTTGATTTTAAAAACATTTCAGTAATTACAAGGCTTGTGAAAACTGAAAAGTAAATAGGCCCCAGAAACCTACGATTGTCACACGAGGCGAATAAATGTTTTGACTCTGCGACTTGCTAGGCCGCTTTACAGATAACTGAAATAATATAATAATTCGATAACGCTTACTAGGTACAAATATCACAGGTAGTTAAATAACATCGGCACCGGTTTAATAATTTTACGACTGTGTCCGGTTTATCACATCCGAGGCGGCTACTTCCGGATCGCGTTCTCGCGGGAACAAGTCACGTTACAAACTCAAGCACACAGACAACAATGTCGGTGCGACGACAGCGATATTTCACAACTTATGTCAGGGTAGGCTTACTCTACGGAAAAGGGAGATTTTTTCCTGTACATTTGTGAAAACGAATCCCCCTACAGTAACGTTCTTACCATAGCTGATTGTGCACCGTCATTACCAGCTGGTGACACTACAAGCGCCGTCACGTGCACATTGAAGAATGTGCAGCATATATTCCCCCCCCCCCCCCCCCCCCCGTTCTAAAGTCACATGGAAAAGAACAAATGGACTCTGTCTATCTATTCCACATGTGGATTCCGGGTGTCCCTATCAATCTATCCTAGTCGTAAGAAGTTGTTCCGGGTGCCGTTGTACGAAACCGCTTAGCGCTACGACTGTCGTAAGTCTATGTTAAGGTATCTGAGTTACGATCATCTTAGCACTAAGATCGCTTTGTTTGTTTGTTGTTTAACGCCGCACTCGGCAATATTCCAGCTATATGACAGTGGTCTGTGTAAATAATCGAGTCTGGTCCAGACAATCCAGTGATTGATATCATGAGCGTCAATCCACCCAGTTGTACAATGGCTCCCTGGTGTTTAGGCTCGTCAACTTGGTTGATTCCATGTCATCCAGCAGAGAGCCACGATGGGGGTCCTACAGTCGAGACAGGACCTTGACTCTAGGACCCAATCGAGTGTCTTGGCTACGTGTCATCGTATCTGGACGATGTGAACCGTACACATTATTTGCAATATCGATCACTGGGTTTTCTGGCCCAGATTAATTACAGGCAAACATCATATATAGCAACAAACAAACTATCTATTATCTATTCATGATGAGAAATATGTAAAGAATACCCCAAATTAGTCCTTTCCAGAATATAGGGCCTAATCTATAGATATCCATATCATATCCACACTGGAATGGGCAAGAAATACTGCATGACAATCCTTAGCAATTCAACACCTCTTTACGATCATAGTTTTCTCGCCAATCACATGAACATCTCATTCACTTATAAAAGACAATTTTATCTTAAACAAGCAATCTTACTATTTACAATTTCTGTGTGACGCTCACCCCTCGTGATAGTGCAAGTATTCAGGATAGAAAACGTATTAAGTCCAAAAACCTATGATGTTCGAAAACCTATGATCCGACGATAATAGTATTGTGTCATGAATAATAAAGGCATATATGATGCTGAAAGCTCTGATTGAAAACATGACAATATGTGTGCTGTACATTCTCTCGATTGACACGAAACTTTGAGAGCATTTCAATTTTCATTGGTCATTAAAATCAATACCGTAAGTAGGAATAATCCTTACTATTTATTTTTTAATCATGAAATTATGACACATGTGACACCTTGCTTAGCATATCTATTGGTCAAAACTCAAAAGTCCGGAAACTTAAACAAGCCATCGGTCAAATAGAAATGTTACCGGTCTATGACCGGTGACCAACGGCCATCTGAACCCTGTGTGGGGTATTCATGTTATACTGCGGCATGATAAACTACACTATAAAACACCATAAAATCGGCTAGTACAAGCAGCCACAAACACACACACATGCATATATGTCGCTATATAAGTGCAACAATCTTGAACGCGACATCAAACCCCATTTCATCGCATCTCACCATGTTGATTAATGGTATTCTGTTCGACATTTGTTAAAATCTTGTTTTTAAACTCCTGAAGCATGTGAAAGTTGCACATTATGTGTTGATTCAAACTTGATTCACTCACTGTGAAATGAGCTGTGCATGTTTTGGAAACAGGTGCAGAAATGGAAAGCTCTACAGGTGGAGGTACACCCGATGTCCTCGGAGAATACCGACTTGTCCTGGCACTTTGAAGACAGACATTTCCAGGTGGGGCAGTTCAGTTTCATTGTTTTCATTGGAGTTTGATTTTCATTTCATAATTTGTTTAACATGTTTAAGAAATTCCATGCTTATTTGTTGATGTGAGAGCTGATACCCTTTGTGGGGCAGGCTAGCATATTTTGAAAAACAATATATCCTTCCGAGATAATACTGGGATAATAAATTTTCTTCCACTTAACAATTGTGAAAAAGAAATGTAATTGTTCATCTTCTTCTTCTGTGTCTTGAAGCAGTTTCACATGCATGCAAACACGCACACACATGCTCACATGCACACAAACACACAGTATTAAACAGTCAATGCTTTAGCATGTTTAGCAAATACCTAGTAAGGTCAGTACAAGATGAAATTTTTAGTAATAGCAAATGAATATTGTACATGTATCTAGGTTCAAATATTACCATGATAACAGCAGTAAAGCTCCAGGCGTCCGTGCCCCTCTTTGATTTCAAACACTGAATTGTAAGTAATTTTTATACCCCTTACAAAATGTCATAATTGCATGTTTCAGGAGATTTTGCAGTTGTTGCGGGGACCAATTTTTGAAAGAGTGAAGTTGAAAAAACATGAAATAAAAAAAGACATGGTCAAGTCGAATATCATGACAGGTAGGCTGAGGTGTCTGTTGTCATACCATTGTCACATCCAGCATGCTTACAATTTGGCAGAGTGAAAGCCGATGCAGTTGCCACGGCAACAATTTGAAGTCCAAATGGTTCAGGATACCTATTGCTGGTGGAAGGATTTCAGAAATAGTGGGAAATGGACTACTTCTGTCTTTGCATGAAATGCTAACTCCCTTCTCATTAACGCCGCAATGTAACTGGAATACTGTTAAAAGTGGCGTTAAACCCAACTCACTCACTCACTCACTCACCCTTCTCATAGGAAATGGGACTGTTATGTTTACTGGAACAGCTGAGAGTTTTGTGAATTGGTAAAGGTTAAGTTATACCCACTCTATGCTTTCAGTGTAAATGGCCTTTTCTTCTCCGAAATTACTGCCAGATATTGACCCAAGGGTAAAGTGGTGGTCTTAAGGATATAATTGTCAGATTGCATTTTTATCAAATGATGTGACACCACAACATATGCTGTCCTCTCTTTACTACTGTACATGAGTTAGTGATTGACTGGTGCTTTACATGACGGGCATGGCAGGTACTCTGTGCATAGCTTCATAACAACATGACCCGTGAAGATCCGGGTTAAAATAGGTCTTCAGCAACCCATGCTTGCCGTAAAAGGCGACTAACGGGATCGGGTGGTCAGGGTTGCTGACTTGGTTGATGCATGTCATCAATCCCAATTGCGTGGACCGATGCTCATGATATCGATCACTGGATTGTCTGGTCCAGATTTGATTATTTACAGACCACTGTCATATAGCTGGAATATTGCTGAGTGCGGCATAAAACAACAAACCAAACCAAATCATAACAACATAGTTGAGTATAAAAGTAGACAGCTGACTATATACCAAACATCAGCCCAGGGAAAGGGAGTTAACTGAGTTTTCCACCAATGTCCACCTTGTAATGATGATGATGATTTATCCATGTTCCTGCTGTTAGGGCCTACAGTCCGCCTTGGATATGATTTTCGAGCTAAGCCGGAATATGAGACCTGCCTTCTGCCGATATCTCAGCCACTTTACACCAGCGATAGTGAGGAAGAGCAGCAGGGTCAGTATGACATTGTCAAACACCCGTCGTACATCCGTCACACACCCGTCATAAACTGTCACACACCCGTCATACATCCGTCACACACCTGTCATACACTGTCACACACCTGTCATACACCTGTCACACACCCGTCACACACCCGTCATACATATATCACACACCCGTCACACACCCGTCACACACCCGTCATACCCATGACACACACCCGTCACACACCTGTCACACACCCGTCACACACCCGTCACACACCCGTCATACCCATGACACACATGTCTTACACCCATGACACACCCGTAGTACACCCACAACACACCCATTATACACCCGTCCCACACCCTGGTCATACAGACATAGCCCTGTCACACCCCGGTCATACAGACATAGCCCTGTCACACCCTGGTCATACAAACATATCCCTGTCACACCCTGGTCATACAAACATATCCCTGTCACACCCTGGTCATACAAACATATCCCTGTCACACCCTGGTCATACAGACATATCCCTGTCACACCCCGGTCATACAAACATATCCCTGTCACACCCTGGGCATACAAACATAGCCCTGTCACACCCCGGTCATACAAACATATCCCTGTCACACCCTGGGCATACAAACATAGCCCTGTCACACCCCGGTCATACAGACATAGCCCTGTCACACCCCGGTCATACAGACATAGCCCTGTCACACCCCGGTCATACAGACATAGCCCTGTCACACCCTGGTCATACAGACATAGCCCTGTCACACCCCGGTCATACAAACATATCCCTGTCACACCCTGGGCATACAAACATAGCCCTGTCACACCCCGGTCATACAAACATATCCCTGTCACACCCTGGGCATACAAACATAGCCCTGTCACACCCCGGTCATACAGACATAGCCCTGTCACACCCCGGTCATACAGACATAGCCCTGTCACACCCCGGTCATACAGACATAGCCCTGTCACACCCTGGGCATACAGACATAGCCCTGTCACACCCTGGTCATACAGACATAGCCCTGTCACATCCCTGTCATACAGACATAGCCCTGTCACACCCCAGGCATACAAACATATCCCTGTCACACCCTGGGCATACAAACATATCCCTGTCACACCCTGGGCATACAGACATATCCCCGTCCCACACCCTGGTCATACAGACATAGCCCTGTCACACCCCGGTCATACAAACATATCCCTGTCACACCCTGGGCATACAGACATAGCCCTGTCACACCCTGGTCATACAGACATAGCCCTGTCACATCCCTGTCATACAGACATAGCCCTGTCACACCCCAGGCATACAAACATATCCCTGTCACACCCTGGGCATACAAACATATCCCTGTCACATCCTGGGCATACAGACATAGCCCTGTCACACCGTGGTCACACAGACATAGCCCTGTCACACCCTGGTCATACAGACATATACCTGTCACACCCCTGTCATACAGACATAGCCCTGTCACACCCTGGTCATACAGACATAGCCCTGTCACACCCTGGTCATACAGACATATCCCTGTCACACCCCTGTCATACAGACATGGCCCTGTCACATCCCTGTCATACAGACATAGTCCTGTCACACCCTGGTCATACAGACATAGCCCTGTCACACCCTGGTCATACAGACATATCCCTGTCACACCCTGGTCATACAGACATATCCCTGTCACACCCTGGTCATACAGACATAGCCCTGTCACACCGCGGTCATACAGACATATCCCTGTCACACCCTGGTCATACAGACATAGCCCTGTCACACCCTGGTTATACAGACATAGCCCTGTCACACCCTGGTCATACAGACGTATCCCTGTCACACCCCGGTCATACAGACATAGCCCTGTCACACCCTGGTCATACAGACATAGCCCTGTCACACCCTGGTCATACAGACATAGCCCTGTCACACCCTGGTCATACAGACGTATCCCTGTCACGACCCGGTCATACAGACATAGCCCTGTCACACCCTGGTCATACAGACATATCCCAGTCACACCCTGGTCATACAGACATAGCCCTGTCACACCCTGGTCATACAGACATAGCCCTGTCACACCGTGGTCATACAGACATATCCCTGTCACACCCCAGGCATACAGACATAGCCCTGTCACACCGTGGTCATACAGACATAGCCCTGTCACACCCTGGTCATACAGACATAGCCCTGTCACACCCCGGTCATACAGACATAGCCCTGTCACAGCCCGGTCATACAGACATAGCCCTGTCACACTGTGGTCATACAAACATATCCCTGTCACACCCCGGTCATACAGACATAGCCCTGTCACACCCCGGTCATACAGACATAGCCCTGTCACACCGTGGTCATACAAACATATCCCTGTCACACCCTGGTCATACAGACATAGCCCTGTCACACCCCGGTCATACAGACATAGCCCTGTCACACCCCGGTCATACAGACATAGCCCTGTCACACCCTGGTCATTCAGACATAGCCCTGTCATACCCTGGTTCCGGAAAATTTAAAATCCCAATTGGACATTTGCATTTAGGCCACACCCCCTTCAAATAGCGTATTTTAGTATGACTTTTGACACACATTACAAGTTGTTACATATTCATAATATGATGAATTATTTCAATTTAAATTGTTTAATTCACCGAACAATTAATAACAAATAATATCATTTTAGATATACATGGAAAACATACGTTTGTTTCTGTTATAATAACGATCTGTTAACGTAGTGAAAGGTCTAATTAATATTCATGAATTATATCTGCTCAAGTGTACGCGTTGTAACATTTGGATCGAGACTATTATCCCATATTTGGTTATCACGTGACCTCACGGGATAAGTGTTTTTTTTAACTAAAGATTATTTAAAAACAAGACAGATATTCTCTTTCTGATTAAATCCTCCTTGGGGCACTTATTGCATTTTCCAGGCTGCAGAAAATCTACTATTTTGTTCCTAATAAAATATTACCACACTAAAAAAACAATGTTTTTTGTGTATGATGTACGACCACCCAAACAGGGCCTCACCCTATTTGGCGCCACACGCCAAGGGGAGCAACTCACACCAAAATCACTTTCCACATGTCATCTGTCAAGTCAAGACGTACATGAGAGAGCTCAGATAATTTTTTCTGTCAACCAATCGATTGAACAATCACAAGAGTTGAAGACATGGCTGAACAAACTGTATGTGTGGTAAATTCCCTTTTCTTTTGCAAAGGCGTAACACCTCGCATTTCCTTTAAGTTTGATGTAGTAAATTCGTCGTCCCTGCGTACGTGGCACGTCCATTCAATCGTAATGGCCGCCGCTTGGTAGTCATCATCGTTATTGATACTTTAACTCATGATCGTTTATAAAAATGACATGGTTGTTCATTATCATTACATTGTAAACTACATATTTCCTATTATGACCTGAAGTTCTAAATTATAAGAGACCTTTAACGTCTCAATAAATTTTTTTTTAACTCAGGCTTTCTCCGTCGAGGCTTGTATTTTATAAAAGAACTTACTAGCTCCTTAATAATGTATATATATTATATCGTATATTAAATTACGCCTTAAGGTTACACACAACCAAATGTTTTCCCATAGACTTCTATAGTAACGTTATGATTTTTTTTTAAATAACTAAGCATTCAACAGCTATTACCTGTACGAGTGTGCACAGTTTGGCCTTAGAGCAGCAATAAAAAAAATAAAAATGACTAGCTTAGCCAGCTCCTTTTCCGAGTACCGGAAGCTAAACACACCACCCCCAGTTTCGCACCAAATGTCACCTACTTGAAAATAGCTGTGGTCACATTCAGCATAAGTCATCATGTTGAAAAAGACAGTACTAAATATAGAAAAACATGGTCAGTTTTAATAACTGGATGGATGTACATTTGAAAGACATAAAAATCTTACAGAATATCCTCCAATCACAGCCTGCAGATATCTCTCGATCTGCACTGAAGGCTCCCTACGAAAACCGCACTCTCCAAACTGGTACTGATTTGGTGTAGTAGAACCTGTAGACAAATCAGAATATATTTGCACTTGTCAAATCTGTGATTTATATATTGTATATATATATGTAGCTTCTCAGAAAAGAAATGGAAATTGGATTAAACTTCACTACTTGTTCCTATCCAGCATGTCTATATGGCACCAGAATACATAGTTTTGATGCACAGAAAGAGTTGTGAGAGTTTAATGATGTACACTTCATCAATGTTTTACAAAAGGTATTTCTGTATTAATAAAGAAGTTTTTACCTTCATGCACTGACCATGGAAGTTCATTTATATTTCATAAAAGATGGTGGTCAGGGGTCAATTCTATAAATGATTGAGGCTGCATAGATCATATCACCCTAAAATATTTTTTCGACTAAAAAAATTGAACAAATCCTTAAACCTCAAAACCAGTTACAATATATATTAAAAATTGAGTAGTGGTCTGTTGTTTGCCTTCCTTTGCTGACATCATCAGAACATAGCAGAGTCTGCTACATTCATGGAATATGGTTTTGACACTCATGACATGATGCGATTGATATTGTTTGAGATTGCTCGAACTTACACCATCCATTGTTTATATAATTAAACACTCAAATGGCTGTCAGCATTTGGTAAATCATCTATGGAGGGGCTATCACAAATGTTTGTGCTTTCATATACTCCAAAAATCAAAAGTATAATCATCTATGATATAGGCTGGTGACATAAGTACACATGGAAAGGAATCAGAACAAAATCTCAAAATTGGACAGAGAGCATGGAATTCAGGCCAACAATAAGCAAGGGACACATTAAGCAGCTTTAAAGTCATCATATATGTAAGGCTGGATAATGAACTTTACCAGAAAATAGGAAGTAAAGGGGTGCATTGTTAACAGCAATCTCAAACACTGACCAGTGAACCATACCGCCTATTAAAGCCGAGAAATTGAAATGGACCCTCAAGTAGAAAAAAGCTTTTTGAAACCACAACATGGA